GTTGGGGAACACTGGTGTAGGTCAGTGGTTCTTAGACTTTTCCTCCCTGGACCACCCTTTCAGAACAAAAATTTGCTCGTGCCACACTGAGTGTTTAATTGATAAGAAATAACATTGGAAAGCGAAGAGAAACACGGCCATCTCTCATGGATGCTTTAGCTGAGATTCCTGCATTGCGGGTGTGTGGGTGTGTCCTGGAGCAGATGACCCTCTGAGTCCCTTCCAAATTTACAATTCCTTGATTCCTTGAATTATAACGTAGTAAACAACTACAGTCGTACCTTGGATCCCAAACGCCTTGGCTTCTGAACAAATTGGCTCCCGAACGATTGAAACCCGGAAGTGACTGTTCTGGTTTTTGAACGATTTTTGGAAGCCGGATGTCCGACGGGGCTTCTGCATCTTCTGTTTGGCTGCAGGAGCTTCTTGCAGCCAATCAGAAGCCGCACTTTGGTTTCTGAATGTTTTCGACTTCCAAGGTACCAGTGTACTTTATAATATGACCATGGGACACCCAGGAAGGATAAAACAATGCAACTTCATACTATACTATTCTATACACAACATGGAAATGTTCAAATGTTTCTTTGTCCTTGGATCTTCCTGCCATGCTTGCCATTTTCTCCCCCCGCAACAGTGTGGCACACCCCATCCTTTGAGAACCACTGGTGTAGGCGGACGGAGCCACGTTTCAGAGAGCGCCTGGGGTCCATTGAGTTGTATGTTTGTGCTTATAACTGCTGGCTGCTTCTAGCAGGGGATTTTGGATCTTCCATTAGCCTGTTTTGTTGCTTGGTGGCGCTGACATAAGCGAAAGTGTTGTTGCTTGAAAAGGCGGGTTTTCTTGGTCACTTGCCATTTTCAAAGGTGCCCCCAGTCTCCAAAGGGCTGTGGACTCGTGTTCAAAGCTGGCAAATGAAATCGAATAAAACGGCTGCGTTTTTCTGTTCTCTGTCTCTCTCTCTCCCTCCTCTCCCACCCAGAACGGAACTTTATCGGTCCCTCTTTGGCAAACGGCCACATCTCGAAGGAGGCGACCACGCTTAGCGGTGGGTGTTGTGCTGCCACAAGCTCTGAACCCAGGAGAGGGGAACGTCCACCACATTCGGACACTATCCATCGCTCTGCGACTTCTCCTGCTCCCTTCCCTTCCTCCCCTGTCGATGGAGATGTCTTCTCGTGAGCATAACCAGGAGCACCCACCATACTGGATGCAGTTGAGAAGTATCTCCACTTCCTTGGAGTCGGAATGCTCCTGGAAGCTAATCTCAAGGCTCACCCAATGCACGACGACCTCAGTGAAGGTGGGCTCACACATTGAAGTGCGTCTTGGAAGCGTTGGGCAACTGCTCTGCCAAACTGTGCTTTCCCCCCAAGTACGTCGAGGGCGTGAAACCAGCCACTTTAAGGGCCAATGAGCAATCTGGAAGAGTGAGAAGAACTTCAGAGTTTCACGGTAGCCATCTCTGGTCAAATCCGGATGAAAGCAAACCATCGCACCCTGGTTCTCTGTACGAGGGACACTTCATAGGGGACCTTTGTAGCATCTTGTGTCCTTGAACTCAGAGACCCTGTGGAATGAAATCAGAATTAAAGAACAGTGTGTGTGTGTGTCTGTGTGTCACAACCGTGTTTGTGTTCCTGGGGAAAAGATTAACAGAGGGTACAACACAACCATTTTTGTTAGTGACACGCCCTTGAGCGAAACTTGATGGCTGTAACTATCCAATCATCTCCGTTCTAAGGAGACATGATTTTAAAGTGGGAATGAAGGAAATAGAACACCAGAATAGTTGCTTATGGTCATGCCCTAAACTACCCTCTCTCTCTTCCCATAACTACCTTGCTGCCTTGCCTTGCCAGAGCAGCTGAAGCTGATGGGAATCGTAGTCCAAAACTTCTGGAGGGAAACCAGGTTGGGAATTAGGTTGTCCTAAACTCTCGGGAGGTCTGTTCTTAAATATGTGTGGCCCATCATCTGAGTTGTGGCTTCCAAGGAGACCAAAAGTAGAAAGCAACTAATAGAATGCTTTGGGTGTTTTGTTCTTCCCTAAAGTAAAGGACGCGGGTGGCGCTGTGGGTTAAACCACAGAGCCTAGGGCTTGCCGATCAGGAGGTCGGTGGTTCGAATCCCCGTGACGGGGTAAGCTCCCGTTGCTCGGTCCCTGCTCCTGCCAACCTAGCAGTTCGAAAGCACGTCAAAGTGCAAGTAGATAAATAGGTACCACTCCGGCAGGAAAGTAAACGGCGTTTCCGTGCGCTGCTCTGGTTCACCAGAAGCGGCTTAGTCATTCTGGCCACATGACCCGGAAGCTGTACGCCGGCTCCCTCGGCCAATAAAGCGAGATGAGCGCCGCAATCCCAAAGTTGTCCGCGACTGGACCTAATGGTCAGGGGTCCCTTTACCTTGAAAGCACTCCCCTAAAGTATTTTTGCCGATGGGGGATTTGTGGATTGCCTCTTCTGCCCCTCCCCCAGTTGAGAGATGCTCTTTGTTAGATTTACACCAGGACTAACCTCTACCGAGAGAAGATGATTCACTTGTTTTTATTCAGAAGGTCAAAAAAGCTGGAAATTAAATCCCTATAAAGTGGATTTATTAGCCTGCTGTGATCAATCTCCAATGGAGATTATCTTGCATAAGTATCATGTGCATATGTATGTTACCTGTATTGATTGCCTGAGGTGTCTCCTCTGCAACCCCCCCCCCCATCCTTAAAACTGAATAAAACAGCTTTACAGAGCTGGCCACCTCATTTATTTATTCAAAATGTTTCTAGGCTGCCTTTTTTTTCTTTTAAAGGGTGAAACCGCCCCCCCCCCATGTACAAAAGACAAAGCAACTATTTTATTTTGTTTAATGAAAGGTGTATATATATGCCGCTTGATTGCAAGGAAACCTCTAAGGGCATACAAGTTTATCCATAAAGACAGTAAAAAAATAAAGAATAACACAATGTTGTCCCGTTCTAATGTAATGCAGTCATTTTAGCGCAAGCCGTTTAAAGCCTTTTGCAGTCCGGCAGCAACACTCAACGTTTATTTGAACGATTTAAAGGGGGGGGGGCAAAACAGTTTAAGAGAAGACGAAATAAATGGGGATTTGGTTGGATTTTTCTGCCTCTCGTAGAATACCAGCACTCGGGGGCATCCAGCAGAGCGGAGTGTTGGAATAGTCAGTGCAGACCGAAGGAAGTCCTTAACGCAGCACATAGGCACACCTGTGGAACTCCCTCCCACAAGAAGTAGCCATGAGCTTAGAGGTCTTGGACAATTTCATGAAGGATAAAGGCCATCCGTTTCCCCCCACGATGGCTGTGTTCTGCCTCCGAATGCCAGTTCATGTCCTGTTTCCAAGCTCCTTGCTTGAACGCTGAGAAGAGGATGTCAGAGTAGATGGGCCTTTGATCCAGCAGAGCTGCTCTGGCCCTCTTAAAAGCCAGCATTGAAGGAACCAGTGCTGGCTTTTTCTTCAAGCGGGGGCTCTCAACCAGAGCCTTAGAGGTCCAGCATAACCTGAAATGTGCTTTGGCTTATTTCTGTTCACACTTCATTTTAGCTGCTGAATGTATTTTATTTTTAAATATTTCTCCGCCATTTCTTCGCCAAAGTTCTCGAGGCAGTACACTCCTCCTTCCCACCAAACAGTGTTGATGGCAGCTGACAGTATTATGGTACTTCTGTATTTTTTATTTGATTTTTGTTTTGTTTTTTAAGGCTAAAATGAAGACAGGTAAGACATCACTAAAAACTACCAGAACACCAATTTCAACAACAGTGGCCTGGCTGGAACCATGGTTTCTTGAAATTGTGTTATGTGATTTAGTGTTACGTGTGAACCCAGCTGATCTGCTTAACTAGAGTTTGTTTGCTTCCAGGAAACCATGTTCTGAAGCCTTATTGGCTTTACAAACCTTGGTTGGTTTTAACTATGGTTTGGTATCCCCTGTGAAACCGGTACATAACCCATGGTTTTGTTTGGCCACCAGTCTTCTGTTGGTTGGCCTCAGACATTTTTTTGTAGGCATCTGTCTGTCTACAAGCTTACGAAAGCACGAGTTAAGCTCACCTGGAAAACAAACCGAGCTCTGGAGAAACAAGCCACAGTTTGTTCAAACATCTGTGGGACAACTCGTAGTTGACTCCGCAAACCACAATTTAAAGCAAAGCATTGTTGAGTGTTCTGCATGAACCCAGATGAGTTACGTGTCAGCTTTGGGGCCAAAATGTCTTTGCCTGCCGGTGGAAAGTCACTGAGGATGGAGCTAGTGTCCCTTGGCAAGGGCATCCATAGCTTAGGAGAAACCACCAAGATGAAATGTTGGTCAGCAATGGCAGCAACCCAGCTTGAGAGGGAATGTAAACAGTGTGATGACATAACCTTGTGTTTATTGAGGAGTAGCTGAAATCTAATTGGATAGAGCTTATTGAAATCTAATTGGATAGAGCTTATATCTACCAGCTCAGGGGTCAGCAAACTTTTTCAGCAGGGGGCCGGTCCACTGTCCCTCAGACCTTGTGGGGGGCCGGACTATATTTTTTTTGGGGGGGGGAAATGAACGGATTCCTATGCCCCACAAATAACCCAGAGATGCATTTTAAATAAAAGCACACATTCTACTCATGTAAAAACACGCTGATTCCTGGACCGTCTGCGGGCCGGATTTAGAAGGTGATTGGGTCGGATCCGGCCCCCGGGCCTTAGGTTGCCTACCCATGTACCAGCTAGTTCCAACCTCATCACCATTCTGCCCTTCCTGATCCTCGTCCACATCCCTGAAGCTTGAGGAATTCCGTTAGAGCCACAGTGAACAAAGGAGGAGTTTCTCGTTTAAAAGGGAGGGAAGGGTTTCTAGTCCTCTTGATTGTATATAATTATATAAAAACAGGCAGGTAGGGGGAAGCTTGAAAATGAAGCTGCTGGCCAGTTAAAAGACCCTTTGATTTTCTCTCTAGCTGCTAAACGCTGAAACAATTAATTATCTCCTTCATTTCAACAGACATTTGATAAGTTGCATTGCCTGCCTTGTAGCTTTGGACAGGCCTGTGTGAAAGTGATGCTCTGACAAGATTCAGAAAAGGCAAGAAGGTACGAAGGTGTCCACTCTCCCACTTGTTGTTTAGAAAGGGGCCTTTGCTTCTCCCTTAGCAATTTTTGTGAGGTGACAAGTTTGTTTTTGGAAGCCGAGCGGAACCTGGGACAGGTTGGTATTTTAAAATTGTGGGTTCTGTTGCATGTTTTGCAGCTTTAAATGTTTCTGTCTGCCTTGAGCCTTTGGGACAGTGGTGCACTCAGGCAATTTTAGACTTAGGCCAGAACAGTTCTTTATGGTAAGGTATATTAATCACTTTACTTCACTTCAAACCATGGTAAGCCAGCCCTGCTGGATTCAGGGCCGCCTCCTGCTCATTCTGCTGTGGGGGGCTCTGGGTGTCTGCCCCCACCTGACGGTGCCACCATTCTTTAAAAATAATAATTAGAACTTCCCTCCTCCATTTCTGCTGTGTGGCCACTCCAATGCAGTGAAGCTCAGTTTTTTTCTGTAATTCTAGCTGCGACTTGAGCTAAAACAGAACGCAAGCTAAAACAGAACACCACCTTCTTTCTTTTTTTACAGGCATATGGACTAGAAACTTTGCTAGTTTTTGTTTGTTTTTTAATGTGAAGAAAGGTGGCATATTGACAGAGCTGGATTTTGCTCCTACAGAGATACCCTGGGCCCCAGATGGTAACCCTAAATTTAAAATAAAATAAAATTGTGTGCGCTTGTTTCAAGAAGCTGCTTTCAGGAAATGAAATGACAGTGTGAATTCTATCTTAACGTGGGTTCTCCAAGTGGCGGAACGAGGACAGTTATCCCCATCAGAAAATCGAAGATTTTTTCCCACCCCGCCCCCTCTAGGGTGCAGAAAGTATCTGTGTCAAGGTGAGTATTGACTTTTGTCTTAGAAAATGTATGTAGCATGGATGAATAAATCTTTATGTGCATTTGCAGCAAAGCCAGAGCTGTAGATCTTAGAGAAGGACATTGATTTTTGCCCCCTCCCCCCCCTCCACTACCTCCCATTTTCTCCCAGCTTTCTGAAGAGTCAAAATTTGCCTGGCATAAACTTCTTTTAAAACAACAACAACAATTCTGTGGACCCTTTCCGAGTTTGTCATATTTCTATTCTTGGATTTAGTTGCATGCGCCCCCCCCCAACCCTGGGGAAAGTTTTGGAGAGTCATGGTCTATCCTTTTGCTAAAACTATAAGTGGTAAAGCTAAGAACTGGGGTGTGAAATTAGGTTGCAGCCAGCTGTTTTGGGGTTGGACGTGAGACTTTAGATGGGTACTGTTGGACGAGGAGAAGAGAGAAGCACATGATGCAAAATGGTGTTGAGTAATGGCAGGAGAGCACCAAAGATCAGTTGTTGAGCACTTTGTTTGTGTGCAGAAGGTCTCAGGTTCCAGCTCCAGGTAAGACTGGGAATTGTCCCCATCTAAAATCTTCTGCCACTCAGTGTAGACAGCACCTGAGAAAGGTAGACAAGCTTTCTGAATATGGGTAGTTTTTAATGTTTGATGTTTTACTGTGCTTAATGTTTTTAATTTGTTGGAAGCTGCCCAGAGTGGCTGGGGCAACCCAACTAGGTGGGAGGCATATCAACAATATCATCCTGTCTCCCTGGGTTTTAGGAAATAACAACAGCTTCCTAGAACCCAGGGAGACATGTCAGTCTTCATTTCCCAAAGTTCCAGTAGCTGGGGCCGATGAATGGTTTTATTTATCGAATTTAATTCGAGACACATTTCCTCCTTAACTCTTCCTATTGTTTACAAAACACCTGGTTTTTAAGACCACCTCTTTTAATACTGTCTCCCAGCCTCGCATCTTTTCTTCTGCCAAGTCAGGCAGACCTCAGGAGTAGGACCATGTTTTCAAGTGAAGGCTTTTGGAATCTCTTCCCTGTGCCATCTTGCAAACAGTGAAGGGCAGCATTTAAATTGAATAAATAAACAAACAAAATAATTCCCAAGCCTCTTGATTGCAACGTGGACTGTGTCACACCCATATTCCTCTCTTTTCTTTTGTAATAACTGAACTCAGCTGGGAAGTCTGTGGGCTGCAAGATGATGCCAGGCTAGAACTCCAGTCATCCTTGACCCCCAACTGGGACTGCTGGAAGCCCAGCCCAATGACATCTCCGACATAACAGGTATGTTTAGGCTGTAAAAGAAGAGACTGAGCAAATGTGATAAAAGGTAAAGGTAAAGGTACCCCTGCCCGTACGGGCCAGTCTTGACAGTCTCTAGGGTTGTGCGCCCATCTCAGCGCTGTCCGCAGACACTTCCGGGTCACGTGGCCAGCGTGACATCGCTGCTCTGGCGAGCCAGAGCCGCACACGGGAACGCCGTTTACCTCCCGCTAGAAAGCGGTCCCTATTTATCTACTTGCACTTTGACGTGCTTTCGAACTGCTAGGTTGGCAGGCGCTGGGACCGAACAACGGGAGCGCACCCCGCCGCTGGGATTCGAACCTCCGACCTTTCGATCGGCAAGCCCTAGGCGCTGAGGCTTTTACCCACAGCGCCACCCGTGTCCCTCCAGCAGATGTGATAGCCATCTTCAAATAGATGGAAGATGGAGCAAGCTTGTTTTTTCAAACTCCATAGAGTAGGACTCAAACCAGTGGCTTCAAGCTACAAGAAAGGAGAGTCTGGCTGAACATCAGGAATAACTTTCTGACCATAAGAGCTGTTCAACAATAGAGCGGTCTCCCTTGGGAGGTGGTGGTTTCTCCTTCCTTGCAGGTTTTCAAGCAGCGGGTCGATGACCATCTGTCACGGATGCTTTAGTTTTTGCAGGGGGTGGACTGGATGACCCTCTGGGTCCCTTCAAACTCGTACAATTCTATGATTCTGCAGTGGTGTGGGGAACTGTAGCTCTATGCCTACAGCATCTGCTTTGCGTGCAGAAGGTCCCAGATTCAATCGCCAGCGTCACCAGGTTAGGGCTGGGAGAGACTCCAGTCTCAAGCATTGGGAGAGCTGTTGCCAGCCTGTGTTGACAGTACTGAGCTAGATGGGCCGCTGGGTTTGGACTTAGTCCTATGAGCCTGTGTTTGCTAATTGGTTAAGCAACGGGTCTTCTGCTGAATCCCTCTCTCAGGGTTACATCACTGCTTATAGATTGGAAGAGAGGGGGGCAAGGGACGTGCTAGTTGCATCTTGCATTTGTGAACCCAGCATGGAGCCAGGGTTCAGACTAGATGACCGCTGGGACCCCTTCCTCTAGATTATCTCTAATGCATCATCACCACCATCATCATAATCATCATCATCTCTCACCCTCTCTCTCTATATATATGCCAATCAGAAATATGTGTTCATCTGGTGTTTGAAATGGATATTAAAACACACAAATGCTCAGTACTGTAATGGTTTAGAATTACTGTGTGTGTGTGTGTGTGTGTGTGTGTGTGTGCGCGCACACACACACACACACACACACACTCGGGATTTTTCTGTGTTTTGGCAGGTTGTGTGTGTGTGTGTGTTTTCAGCAATATCACACACAGACACACAATCTATATCTATAATCACTGGTTATACACAGTGGATAATGAAGTAGAGCTGTCAACCAATTAAAGAATTTTAGCTGATTAATTGCCCTTCTTTTTAACCAGTGCATTGATTTTAATGAATCAATTTAAATTTAAAGACATTTGCATATTATCACCACCTTTGCTTAGGTGCCTTTTGGAGATATTGAAGGACAGATGAGATAACAACCCGTTTAATAAGCAAGGCCACCACTCTGCGTTAAAACTGGAGGGCTCAGCGATAGAGGAGGTGCTTTTGCACCCAGAAGGGCTTAGGGTCGGTCCCCAGCACCCCATCCCCCCCCCCCGTGAAAAGGGTGTCGTTTGAGGTGCAGCAAGAGGGTGGTAACCCCAGGCAGGGCCTGCTTGGTGGTGACACCCCAACGGTGGAATGCCGCTTCCCAGGAAGACTTGCCTGGCCCCGGCCTTGATGTCAGTATGGTGCCATGTGAGCACTCTTCTGTGTTTGTTTCCTTAGCCTTAACCAAACAGCTGCCTCACGGCCTCAGATCTCCAGTCTGCCAGATATGGGTGTTTTTTTATCCTTTGGAAATGTCTGCAGTGATTTACCATTTGTTTTGTTTTTTTGTTTGTTTTTAAAGAATAATCTTTGTTTTAAAGTTGTTGCTTTCATTTTGTTCCTCTGTCCCCTCTTGTAGCTTTTTCTCTTAAGGAAATTATGGGGCATAGTTATTATTTATTTTCATAGAATCCACAGGCCACTTGATTGTATATAAAAAAAAGCTTCAAAGTGGTTTACAAAAGAATAAAACAATAAAGGCTCAAGGCAAGCCCTGCTATCATCAGGCATCTCTGAAGCACAAAGGTTTTTGTTTTCCCCCTGTTCAGTTGTGAGCTATTGAATGATAAAAGGTGTTGAGATGAGAGTGGGGCCTCTCCACATGTGTGAAACTTATCAGATGAGATTATAAATTAATTAATTAATTAATTGATTGATTGATTGATTAATTAAATGTGCACAGCGGTACAGATGCTTCAGGTTACAGATGTTTCAGGTAACAGACTCCGCTAACCCAGAAATAGTACCTCGGGTTAAGAACTTTGCTTCAGGATGAGAACAGAAATTGTGCAGCGGCGGCAGCGGGAGACCCCATTAGCTAAAGTGGTCTTCAGGTTAAGAACAGTTTCAGGTTAAGAACGGACCTCCAGAACGAATTAAGTTCTTAACCTGAGGTACCACTGTATAGCGCCCTAGACTCATAGATCTCAAGGCGATTCACAGCACAAAAAACACACAAAATAGCTTAGAAGTGGGGAACTTCAAAAATGTGGGGGCAGGGGGAAGATTCCTAGCTTTTAACAGAATAAGGAAAGGCCATAGCTTCAGTGATTCCGAGTTCAGTCCCTGACATCTCCAAGCAGGGCTTTCTGAAAAACCCTGGAGAGCTGCTGCCAGTCAGTGAGGACAGTATTGAGCTACAATTGAGCCGCATGCTGGGCAGAGGTTTCCTGCATTGCAAGGGGGTTGAACCAGATGACCCTCGTGGTCCCTTTGAGTTCTACAGTTGTTGTTCTTGTTGTTGTTTGTTGTCGTTGTTAGTTGTTTAGTCGTGTCCGACTCTTCGTGACCCCATGGACCAGAGCACGCCAGGCACTCCTGTCTTCCACGGCCTCCCGCAGTTTGGTCAAACTCATCCTGGTAGCTTCGAGAACACTGTCCAACCATCTCGTCCTCTTGTCCCCTTCTCCTTGTGCCCTCCATCTTTCCCAACATCAGGGTCTTTTCCAGGGAGTCTTCTCTTCTCATGAGGTGGCCAAAGTATTGGAGCCTCAGCTTCACGATCCGTCCTTCCAGTGAGCACTCAGGGCTGATTTCCTTCAGAATGGATACGTTTGATCTTCTTGCAGTCCATGGGACTCTCAAGAGTCTCCTCCAGCACCATATTTCAAAAGCATCAATTCTTCGGCGATCAGCCTTCTTTATGGTCCAGCTCTCACTTCCACACATCACTGCTGGGGAAAACCATAGCTTTAACTATACGGACCTTTGTTGTTCGCATCGTCCATCAATGAACAATGGACACAATGTCAGCATGGAACAGAAGGCACCTGTGAAGTTCCCGATTCCATCCAGCTCATGGGTCCTGAGCGATGTGGGGTCTAGCCCTGTGAAAATAGCCCCATCCTGACAGCGCTTAAAGTCCATCTTTGCAGGTTTAAGACTGAAATGGATGCTGGTGGGGAACCAGTACTACTATAGAACAGATCCTCCCAATTTGGGCCAAGGGATTTTCATTCCAAATTTCATCTGGCCCTGAAATCATTAGGCTCCTGTAGGCAAATAACAGAAGTTGGGGAAGGGAAACACACTTCCTCTCTCATTTTTCTGGTGCATTGACATTCTTCCATGCTTGTTTCCTAGACTTTAGGCAAGCAGCCGCCTGCCAGCCTCAGTCCCTCAGCCTGCAGCATGGGCGTTCTTGAGAGGATTACAGAAAGAATCCTTGTTTTGTGCTTGGAGCCCTCTCTCCCAGGTATTGTTTATAAATCCTTGCTATTATTGTGGCTGAGAATAGGGAATTTGCTAGTTTGGCACCTGTTCTTGGCATAGGGTTTTCCTTGCTGTGGTTCGATGAGGTTGTGTGTGTGTGTGTGTGTGTGTGTGTGTGTGTGATGCCTGCTTCTCTGTTTGACACAGTCTCTTAAAGTTACCTCCTGTTGTTTCTGAGTTTCTTTGCAGGCATATTAAAAGGCGAGCATGGAAAATGCTTGTTTCATATTGTTCGAGAGATAGTGGAAGGTAGGGTGGTGGGGAGAAGAGAAATTCAAACCCTTGAATCTTTACTTATCAGCGTCCTGGCAGGCTTTCAGTCTTTCCCCCCTTACCCCGATACCTGGGGAACGCAGGCAAGGAGGCTTCAGCTGGGTCTCGACCTGGTTTCATCCGCTGAGGTTGGTTCTCTTATCCTCTCCACCGGTAGCGGGGCAGGAATGGTCTGTTTCCAGGACAGACAGCAGAGATCTGAGCTTGCTCATGTAACTCCCAGCCCTGGATCCTGTCGCCAACCCCCTCTCCAAAACGTGTGGTTTGGCGGCCACAGAAGTTAACCAGCTCTGCTTCCAGTGGCAGGTCTTGCTGTCTGACTGTGACTAATTTCTGGCGTTGCGGCCCAAACCACTGAGCCTCTTGGGCTTTGCCGATCAGATGGTCAGCAGTTTGAATCCCCGCAACAGGGTGAGCTCCCATTGCTCGGTCCCTGCTCCTGCCAACCTAGTAGTTGGAAAGCATGCCAGTGCAAGTAGATAAATAGGTACCGCTGCGGCAGGAAGGTAAACGACGTTTCCATGGTATTCCGTTGTACCAGAAGGGGTTTAGTCATGCTGGCCACATGACCGGGAAAACTGTGGACAAGCGCCAGCTCCCTCAGCCTGGAAGTGAGATGAGTGCTGCACCCCATAGTTGCCTTTGACTGGACTTAACCGTCCAGGGGTCCTTTACTTTCCTTTTTTACCTTAATTTCTCTCCATCTTGTGTGCAGGAGAGAGAAAAATAAGATGCAGTCCTATGTGGGCACAAGACTTGTGCGTACTTAATAAATGCTTCACAGTTTCAAAAAGGCGCTTTCTTTTCCGAGCACAATTCAAAGTGTTGGTGCTGACCTTTAAAGCCCTAGACGGCCTTGGCCCAGTATACCTGAAGGAGCGTCTCCACCCCCATCGTTCTGGCCGGACACTGAGGTCCAGTGCTAATGGCCTTCTGGCGGTTCCCTCGCTGCGAGAAGCAAAGCTACAGGAAACCCAGAGGGCCTTCTTGGTAGTGGCACCCGCCCTGTGGAACGCCCTCCCATTAGATGTCAAAGAGATACAACAACTACTTGACATTTAGAAGACATCTGAAGGCAGCCCTGTTCAGGGAAGTTTTTAATGTGTGACATTTTAATGTATTTTTAATCTTTGTTGGAAGCTGCCCAGAGTGGCTGGGAAACCCAGCCAGATGGGCAGGGTACAAATAAATAATTATATTATATATATAATATTATATAATATATAATAATAATAAATGTCACCTTAAGCAAAGGGTGTTGTTTTTAACACGAAACACACGAATCTGCCCCTCCTTTCCAGCAACATATGCTTACTATTAAAATGGCGGTGGAGAATCTGGTGTCCTGTGGGTGCTGATAGGCTCTCTACAGCTCCCTATCGTGCTTAGCCATTGGCCCTACAGGCTGGGGCGGAGTCCAATTCCACCCAGCTCCCTAGAGCCCACACTGAGTGACAGCGGCTGTCCAGGATTTCGGGGGGGGGGGAATCCCAGTCCTATCTGGAGATGCCAGGGATTGAATTTGGGACCTTTAGTGGGCAAGGCAGATTCTCTGCCACTGAGCTGTGGCCCTTCCCAAAGAGTGATTCATCACTCTGAGAGAATCTGTTCACTTTGCCTGCCTGTAGGAGAATTGCTCTCCAAATCCCAGTGATTGAAACTCCCAAGGACACACTTTTTCTTGGTGCCGGAGGTCTTGGCTGAATGCAGAGCGGGAGGCTAAACTGCCTTTAGGAGAAAGGGCAACCACAGAACAGGCTTTCCTGCAAATGCTTCTCCTTAATGCCATCAATTAACAGCTATCCCGAATTTCCCAACAGAATCTCAATTCTTTAGCCATATGTGATACCTCTGTTAATTAGCTTTTATAAAAAAAAAATAGGACAACAACAGATAACCCGGGCACTGATTTAAAAAACAAAAAACACAAACAAAAAACAGGAGGTGAGTGTAGCAGAAATGATACGCCCTCCCTGTCCCTCCCCCCTCCCGAAAATAAAACCACACAGAATTTCAACTTTCAGACAAACAACTTCATTTACAAGTGTGGCTCTAATTAGCTTCTGAATTAGTAAAGCGGAGTCCCCCCCTCCCTCCCCCAGATCAGCAAAAGCCCGGGGGGAAGCGGCGGAATAGCGAGAATCGCATTTCCAATTATTTTGTTGAATTGCTAATTTAGTTATTGTGGCTGCCGTAATTGTGAAGGGTATTGGGTGTGCAATTCAATTTGTTTTAAATATTTGTGGGAAGGCTGTTCGGTAATGGAGCTGACCTGTTTTGCGGCCTAAATTGAGAGAAGGGACTCGAACAAGGAGGTTTGTGGGGGCGGGCAGGGAGGGGGGAGAAATATGGGAGGAGAATGGGGGGGGGAGATATGTGGCTACAAAGCCGTCGTTTTTTTGTTTCAGTTTTTATTTTGATCTTTTCTCTCTTCATCCCTCTTAAGACCGTTGAAGCAACAAAAGGTTTAAATTAAAAGATGATAGCACTTTGATCTGCCAGCTTTTGAAAGCTTTTGCCGCTTTGGAGGTAACCCTTCCGGGCATTTTTAATATGTAGATTTTTTTTTTAGGCTAAAGTGTTTAAATATGCATTTCCAGGGTTCAGTAGGGGTACTCTCTCTCTCCACCCTTTTATTAAGTTTGTTAAATCGATTAATGTATTTAAGCACACACGATACACACAGATGCATATATCTCTATATCTGTTATGTACGTACGAATTCTTCCTCCCCAAATCTTATATTGGTTCTGTGAGAGCAAACACACAGAATTGAATCTGTTGTGCTAATTTGATACGATTTAACACCATTTCATCTTAAATTATGTGTAGGGTTTCAAAATACACATCTCACAGGGGCCTGTTTTGGAGTAAACGGACCCCTTTTTGTATGCCTAGTAGGGGAGAAGCTGTTCCATTAGCTATACCTGCAATTAAATTCAGTTGAGTAACAGTGGGGGAGAAATGTCTGTGTGTGTGTGTGTGTGTGTGAGAGAGAGAGAGAGAGAGAGAGAGAGAAGGAGGGGCATTTGTAAAACCGTTTTAATGGATGAAATTGTGCCACCGTCACCCCCTGAATGTTAAGAGGTGAGTTTTGTTTGATCCAACACATCTGTGACCGTGGGGAGTACCCAGTACAGGATACTGCGACTTTTACGTACATTCTGCATTTAATGCCCTAGTCCTTTGAGCACAAAGCTAAATTTAAAAAAAGAAAGCCGAAAGTGCATACAGAACTTCTTGTTTTCTGTAGGTTGGGCAGGTAAAACAAAATAAAGCTACACGTGTGCGTCTCACACACAATGACTTTAGTCTGCAAGAAACAGCAAACAGGGTTGTTAAAAACAAGATGTCACTCTCTGCACATTTTAATAGTTGTTTTATTGGTCTTAATAGCTTTTATGTATATTATGAACTGCTTTGTGATTTCTAAGAGAAAAGCATTTTTATAAGCTTTTCTTCAAAACAAAACAAAAACAAAACCATAGCAAACTAGAATGTCAAAGTGAAGGGCTCTGGCATAACCCCGGACTGACTAGATTTCTAAAGGGCAGTGGCTCGGTTTCCTTACAGGAACCTGTTCAACTCTCGCTGCTCTCGTGGATGGCTTTTAAAGGGTATTAGACCAATTCACAGAGGATAAGGCTGCCTGTGGATACCAGTCCATGATAACCACCATATCTGGTGGCAATGCACCTCTGAATACCAGTTGTTTGAGGAGGTCACTAGTGAATGAGAGGGGGCTGCTGTGCTCAAGGCCCAGCTTATGGGCTCCCCAGAGGCTTCTAGCTGGCCAGTCTGTGAACAGAATGCCAGAATAGATTAGCCTCCGTGATCCAGTCAGGCTCTTCTTGAAAGAGGTCCTTACTGCCTGGGATCCAAAATCTGTCTCTGTTCTTACCAGTACTTTCCCTAAGTGTTTCATCTGTGGCCACATGAACTAATAACTTGCCATTTCCTTTTTTGTAAATCTGCAGATGGGCTCCCAACTCCCCATCGTCCTGGCTGGGCTGTCAGGTGTTGGAGTCTTGACAACATCTGGAGGGGAAACACCCTGGTGTAAATGAAAAGTTTGGGTTCCCAGAGACCTCAGTATTGGCAGTCATATTGCACCACTGAGTACATTTCCATTGTGGTGTAGTGTGGTGTAGCCAGTGTGGTGTAGTGGTTAGGAGCAGTAGTCTCATAATCTGGGGAACCGGGTTTGCATCTCTGCTCCTCCACATGCAGCTGCTGGGTGACCTTGGGCCAGTCACACTTCTTTGAAGTCTCTCAGCCCCCACTGAGAGTGTTTGTTGTGGGGGAGGAAGGGAAAGGAGAATGTTAGCCGCTTTGAGACTCCTTAAAGGGAGTGAAAGGCGGGATATCAAATCCAAACTCTTCTTCTTCTTCCTGGAACGATGGAGCACTTGACTGTGAGTAGTTGTGATCAGTGGTAGACCTACATTTGGGCGTGGGGGTTCACAACTGGTAACAAGGTCTGGGTAACCACTGTTATCTTCTTCAGTGGGGTTGTTCCATGACAGATCACCACACCTTTACAACATTCGTGCTACTGACTCAAACTTTTGGATTGTTGAAATATCCATACTCAGTTCAATGCTACTCAAATCAGGTCTACTACACCCAAAAATGTTAAGTTGCATCTGGAGTTCCTCTGGAATTAGGGACCCAGAAGCTTAAAGCTTCATTAGTTTCATAGTTCAGTGGTACTTTGGTTCTGGAAGTCGGTTCCAAAACTAAGGCGCACTTTCCCATAGAAAGTAATGCAAAATGGATTAATCCGTTCCAGACTTTTAAAAACAACCCCTAAAACAGCAATTTAATTTTACTGTCTAATAAGACCATTGATCCATAAAATGAAAGCAATAAACAATGTACTGCAGTCACACAATCAATCAATAGCTGAACTGGGTTCCACACAGTCACAAAAACAACACACAAAAAAGCTGCAAAAACAAAAACGCAAAATAAATAGCAAAAACGGACAGACCTCAGCGTAACACTCAAAACAGAAGTGTGGCACTCAAATCGGAAGCGTAACACTCAAAACAGAGCACGTTCAGCTTCCGGAAAATGTTCGCAAACCGGAACACTTACTTCCAGGTTTGCAGTGTTTGGGTTCCAAGTTGTTTGAATACCACGGCGTTTGAGAACCAAGGTACCACTGTAAATCCACCTCTGGCTGCAATCTTTCCTGAGGGAGGCATAAATGCTGAGACAGAATTCTTGGAGGGGGAGCCTCAGGTGTTAAAGGTTGCATGAGAGTCTGAAGTTAACGCATTCCTGATTTCTTGCTTCTGCTTTGTGACAGAAATTGCTGCACTCTGAAAACACGGAAGCTGCGTCAAGGAATTCACAACGCAACGCAATCTGATGGTTGGAATTTTTTTTATTAAAAGAAACTTGAGGTAAGTGAAATAAACATCAGCACCACAAGTTGTCCCAAGACATACATCAGTTAATACTTCTGTCGGATGGTTCAACTGGGCTCTCTCTCCACTTGTCCCCTCCGCTGCCTGTATTTCTGCTACAGACTTAATGAGAACAGCATCTTTTAAATCAGGGCTCCCCACCACGACACCAATGTGCCTGCCAGTACCTCACATGCTACCCATCAAAAGTAAATAATCCATTTTGTGTTAGGCCACACCCCACAGCAGCCATTTTGTAACTGGCGCTCACAGCACTTTCTTTCCAGTGTGCTTGCTGGTCCCAACAGGTTGGCAAACCCAGTTTTAAATGTTTTGTTCTCTCCAGAAAATGGGGGGGGGGGGGCAGAGCATGTGCTCTCACCTTCGCCCATCTGCCCCCACCCTGGTCCCAATCAGCATTGTGTGGCCAGCGGCAGGTATGATGCATTTATTAACATTTGCTGATAATCCTCCATTGGGTTAGAGTTCCTGTTTCCACCGCAGTTCTTTTTGGAGGCAGTGGAAGGCAAGGATCCCAAGACACGGTGGGTGGCTGACTTGAAGGCCACGGCATCGTCACCAGACTGGATTATTGAAGCTGGTTGCTGCAGAGGAGAGAGCACAAATGTGCTCTTTTTTGTGGCATGTGCATCAGTGCAGGTAACCCCTCCAGATTGGGCGATTGCTGCAGGGGAATGGGACTCATCTGGCAGTGCAGAACCAGTTGTGGGGATTTGCTGGGTAGCGAGTCCTTGGCCTTTCTGACGTGTCGTTTAGAGAGAGAGAAAAGTGGCCGCGCGTTTACTACAGTTAACATCCTAGAGTTACGCTCAGCTGACGTTCTCTCTCCTGGAAAGTATTTGGGCAAGGCTTAGGTTTCCTTTAGTGACGTAAACAAGAAGCTGTTTAAAAAGGGAAGACACTAAACCAGTGTTTGCCAGCCTGGTGCCCCCAGATGTTTTGAATTGACTCCCAGTGGGAATGGTAGCCCAAAACATCTGGAGGGTCCCAAGTTGGTGCCAGCTGCATTGAATCCTCAAGAGGCAGGTAATGAGAATGCAGGTCGAAAGTCTCTTTTTTCAGGAATGTTAGGAGCCAGCTCCTTCCATAGGGTTCAAAGCACAGTGCTAAAAGTCCTTAGCAGCTGTCCTTTTCAGACACTTTCCATTATTTTCTGAACTGCAATATTTTATCAATAACCCTGTAGCTGCCTTAGGGACCCTTACAAGGCAACCCACTCAGGATGTCTGCTTGGCAGAGGGCACTGCGGTCAAGAACCTTGGCTCTTGGATGTGTGTCTATGTGGTACTGGGTCATGCCCATCTCCCCCCTTTCATTTCAGGGTATGCAAGCTTCTTTAACTGAAAGCAGTGGGACTTGAGGTTGTGGTAGCCAGCTCTTCCTTTCAATGGGACTCACTCTGAAGTAAGTTTCAGATTACTTGCTATTTTAATAGCTTTTAAAAAATTGTTTTAATGCTTTGGTGATTGCCCCCCTCTGCTCTTTTGGGAAGAAGGGCAGGATAGGATTTTTGTGGAGGGAAATATATTGAATTCAATGAGGCTTACTCGTAGGTAAGTGGGGTTGCAGACCTTTTTTGGATTGGAGCTGGCTTCCCCCAGATCCAGGCATCTGCCCAAAGATAGCATGCCACAGGGCTTCCAAGAGAACCCATATCTAGCATGTCCCCACCTTACAAAATTTGATCCCTACCCGCTTTTGCAATTGGCTGGAACACGCGTATTAATTTAATTCCTTGTAATGAGGGGGAAAGAACACAGCATTTCTTAAAACTGATTTTGCACAAAGTATTATTTTATTGCATGGTGGTGGGGTGACTCATTTAAAGCTGTGTTTCTCCTTCATGAAACGCCCCCCCCTCCCAAGTTGGTGAACTGGTGCAATAATGGCTGTCATCCTATCTGGAAGTGTCATCAAAGGCTCAACACCTGGATCCACCAGCCTGTGAGTAGCATCTCCTCTTACATTGGTGTAGCATTGCGGGTCACTTGCGTCTTACACAAGGATTGGCTTCCAAGGGTCCATCTGTATATGCAGAAACGCAGAAAGCCAGGAACTGCCCCTCCCCATAAAGTGGAGGGGTGCTTACCTGGTTTTTGGGAAGGGGGTGTGAGGGCTCTGCCAGGGTCCCAGAATCTTCCCACCGCCTTCCCAAAGCCTAAGAAGTGCTTGCCCAGCTTTGGGAAGGAGTGTGAGGGCTCTAGGACCTTGCCAGAGCCCCCCAACTGCCTTCCCGAAAGCCAGGTACGCTCATGATCGTAGGGGGGAGGGATAAATGGAGAGTGGTTTCCTTCACTCTCCATGCTTTTATTTTATTTCCTCCTCACCCACACAAGATTTGAGGTGTATGTGTGTGTAGGCCCTTTGTTAGCCATCAGACATCCTGCTTTGGGACTTCCTATTGGGACGTCTCATTGGCCACTGTAAGAACAGGATGCTGGCTCAGATGAGCCACTGGACTGATCCAGCAGAGGCTGGTGGCTGTAGGGAAGGCAAGCCTGACCGAGCGTAGCATATGTATTCTGCTCCATCCCCCTGCTGCCAATGGGCAACCTGACCCTCCAAAAAAGCAAGGCCACAGGTGTGCAGGTGAATTCCTGCTATTGCGCTAGCGTAGCTCCCTGAATTGGTGCCTTGGCGAAAGTGCTGCTCAGCCGGCAGTGCTTAGATGCAGGCCAGTTACCACCCCCGCAAGGCTGCATTTTTTCCTACCTCCCCCCTGTCTTAAGAGACAACACAAAAGGGTGTCCTGTACCCAATGGGGCAGGAGATGCTCAGCTTTACCTTTCTGCTCCACCTGTTCAAGGTTAGGTCCTCTGGCGCAAGCCAGCCGGTCCACCACCCACCAAGGCCGCAAGTGTTGATTTACAGAAGCAAGTGCCACTTCTAGCTTACAAATTGACAGCACTGCCAGCAAAGTATGTAAGGAATTGAAGGCAAGGATAGGCACCTGTGGGGTTTACTGTACAGGAACAACTTCAAGTCCATGCCCCCTACTTTCAGGGGTGGCCAACACAGTGCCCTCCCACATTGCTGAACTATACCTTCCACCACACCCAAGAACGATGTCTGAGGCTGATGTGGAGGTGGAGGCCAGGGACATCTGAACAGCACCATGTTGACTGCTCCTGACTGAATGGCAAGACGCTGTGCTCCATGAAAGCTTCATGGTAGAGCCAGGCTGTAAGGAAAGTTAGGCTCAATTCAGGTAGCACAGCCACGTGATGCAGGGACTGATGGGAGATGTCGTCAGAATCATATTGAGGGCACCAGCTTGGGGAAGTCTGTGCTACACTTTATGGACAAGGGATATATAGCTGGGGTGGCCCTTGTTCGTTCTGCTGCAAAAGGCAGAATGATTTCAGATGGGATCATGCCCCAGTCACCTTGCAAAATAACTTTCATATGAAACAGAAATGCCCTCAGATTTCTCTAAGTCCAATATAATGAAGGGAAACCTCTCCCATCAAAGGCTGGAGCCTCTTATAAACACTGTTTTCTGACTATTTTAGCATTGCAGAGCTTTTTATCCACCCTGCAGACTGGCTTTCCTAGGTTTATTGCATGAACGCAGAAATGAAACATCTGATGGCCAATCAATCGTGCACAGAGAGAACTAATAATATGACCTAAAAAAAGGGCGATGATTTAAACTTTGTGCATGAAGTGGGGATGACCTCGCCACCAGCAGGGAGAGAGAGACGATAGGAGTCTAAACCAGTTTAGAACAGGTGCTGTGGGCCTCCCTTTTAGGGGTGGCGCTACCACCCCGCTGCCAAATACGGCTGACAAACACGGGATCTTTTGCATTTGGAAGGTTGGGAAAAGTCAAGTAACCGACACAATGGACAAAAAGTGTACACGAGATGAAAAGCTTGGGGTGGGGGTGGGGTTCTGCTGAAGGCCCCTGTGGTCACACCCCGGCCCCACCCTTGATTTAAGACCTCATGGTACCAGGGTACCTTTCATGATCTCATTGGAAGTCACAACAGTGACTGAGGTGCAAGTCCAGTTTACACTTTGTTAAATAAATAGGGACTACGGTACGACATCCATAAGTTACGTTTGTGGGGGGAGCCTGCATTCCTGAAGTCTCGCATGACTACTCTGAAATTCAAGTCTGAGTTTAAAAAAAGACACAAAAAAGAAGAAAATAATTAAGAAGTCCTTTCCCAGCATTTCCCCTGCTGGGAGACAAGGTACATGGATGAAGGCAGGAGCAAAATGGCAGGGCACCTTTTCCTTCCAGCCTTGCCTGCTTACGTTGAAGCAGGCGCGTCCATGGTGGAGAGAATGCGCACGATCTCAGCTCGCTGCGTCGATGATATATGCTGGGTCATGTGGACGATGGAATCCATGGCGACCTCCGGGTTGGCCTGCACCAAACTAGGATGAGAGAGAGAGAGAGAGAGGAGGCAGGTCATACATTTAGCGGTTTGAGAAGCTGTACACAGTGGTGAAGACAATTCCTTGGACCCCACAGGACAATAAGGGTCCCCAACACCATTAGCAAGAAGACCCAAAAATATGAAATTACATTTGCAACATACCCCAGGGATGCAAAGAAGATCCTAACCTGCATCTTGGGAGAGGAGCCTCTCAAAAACAACTGCTCAGCTGAGGCACAAGGGGGATTATTTGGGCACATTCCCCCGGGATGAGAGTTTAGCAAACCTTTCCCGAGGACTCAGCCCCAATCAGTTGAAAAAGACTTAATCCTTTAAATGGATCTATAATTGGTTGTTCCGTAAATAGTAATATTGGTCATCATCCTTTTTAAAATGCTTTTGCAGTACATCACAAGTATATTTCTGTATTGGTGTGTCTTTCTGCCAATTGTTTGTGGGGTCAGCTCCTTGCCACGAAGCAGGCACCTCTCGCTCTTCCTCCCAAGTTATTGATTACAATATTGTTTACAAGTTTTCAGCCAGCCTTTTAAGTGGAGCTCTTTATCCCAGTCTGTCTGTATTGTATTTGTAACTGTTTGTGTACATAGTTTTTAAGTTGTTGTTGATGATGATAGTGATTTTTTAAAATGTGAAAGGCTCCGAGATATTTTATGGGAAGCAACTCATAAATGGAATCAAATACATAAATAAGTTTTTTTTTCCTGGTTAGCCTGTAAATTGTAAGTCACCTTGGGAAACTCAAAACTTTGCATTTTTTAAACATTAAAAACCGCCAACAAAGTATTGCTGGCCCAAGTGGCTCAGCTGGTAAGATGTGATGAGGGATTAAAGGGAATGTTAGGTTAGGTTTCTTCAATTTGTACATTGTTTCACACTTTTTAAAAAGCCCCAAAGCAATTTACAAACTTTATATACACACACACAAACACAAAAACCGTGATAAAAATAATAGATTCAACAATCTAATACCACTTGGCACTAAAACAAAAAGCTCTTTGCCTGGTGCTGAAACAAGGGCAAGTCTGGCACCAGGCAGGCCTCCCTGGGGAGAGAGCATTCGGTGCGGAAAGGGCTGCAGCTCAGGGGCAAAGCATCTGCTTTGCAGGCAGGCAGTCCCAGGTCCAAGCCACAATGGCATCTCCAGATAGGGCTAGTGGAGTCTGAATCCAGCAGGAAACTTTGGGGAGCCGCTGCCTGTCAACGTATACAGTACTGAGCTAGGTGGACAAATCTATATAAGGCAGTTTCACAAGTTCCTGCTGAGATAGCTGGCTTGGCAGGAATGATTAAAAAAACAACCCCAAGAGTTCCTGTTTTCCTTGAGAAGAAGGAATCCTCACACTGACGTTGGGGCAGTGGGGTGCCAGTAAGACTGGCTAGCAAAGGTGGGAAGGGAGACACGAAATCTTAGGAAGGCCAGGATGCTTTGGGGGTCACATATTGAGCCAAAATGCCCAAACCTTTGCCTGCAGGACTTTCATGTATGGTAAGATACAAGGCCTGCTTGCTGTTGGGAGTTACAAGTCTCAGAACGACACTGGAAAGATCCCACATTTGCCAGGTGTGCTTGGGAATCATAACCCATCTTTCAGCCCGGACACTGAGGTCCTCCAAAGGTCTTCTACTGAGAGAAGTGAGCTTACAGGGAACCAGGCAGAAAGCCTTCTCGGTAGTGGCGCCTGCCCTGTGGAACGCCCTCCTGTCAGATGTCAAGGAAATAGACAACTATCTGACTTTTAGAAGACATCAGAAGGCAACCCTGTTTAGGGAAGCTTTTATTGTTTGATGTTTTATCGTGTTTTTAATATTCTGTTGGGAGCCGCCCAGAGTGGCTTGGGAAACCCAGCCAGATGGGTGGGGTATAAAAAATAAAAAATATTATTATTATGGCTTACTGGCACTCACAGCTTTGTTCTGCATGGGTCTTTCTCCCTCCCTCCCCATGGCTCTGTCCTTGGCTACAATTCGTGGTTAGGGAGGAGTTTAACCACAAGCCTGGTTTTGGACCACACTAAACCAGCTTGACAAGAGGGAGCAGCAAAACTGCTAAAAGCTCCCTGCACACCCCTGGTAAATCTCAGGCCTGGGGGGCCAAATTCTCGCTGGCCCTGCTTCTGAACCCTGCTTGGGGTTTCTTGCCTGGATGATGCCTCCCAATTGCCTGGATGGGAGAGAGAGAGAGGAGCATGTCTAGAAACTAGCTCACCCTGCAAAGGTTTGCGTCCATTGCTCTGCAAGCTTTTGCCTCTGCCCCCACCCAACACTGATGAAAAGTTGACCAGGAGGGAACATGGCCCTCAGACTCAAAAAGGTTCCTCATCCCTGCAGTAAACCAGAGTTCGGCTTACTGTAGTGTGTGAACCAGGCCATTTGTACAGAATGTGGCGCTCTCCTCCAAAGCCAGCCAATGTCCCCTTTCCAGTTGCCCCCTTACCTCCGTATCTGCTTGAGGATGTAGTCCCGAGAGATATATTTGATGTTTTCATCCACCACCGAGCGGGCACCTTCTTCCTCGGTCAGCTGCTTCTCCAGCCACTCCACCAGGTCTTTGTTGTTATCCCACAAGTACGCCTGCCAAGAGGGGAGAAAACAGGCCTTGTTTGCTTAGCTGGCCCAAGTCAGTGGCAATAAGGGGGTCTGTAGACGAGCTTGGGGGTGGAGCACCTTCCAAAAGTCCCAGATTCCATCTGTAGCATCCCCCAGGCAGGGCTGAGAAAGGCACTCTGCCTGAAACAGGAGAGAGCTGCCGCAGTCGGGCGTGATGGATTTTTCCAGTTTTCAAATTCCAAATTCAAAAACATGACTTGGGAATTCAAAAGATATTTTGGTTGCATTGATAGAATTTCATTTAGCTTGGTAAGGAAAATGTGTGTAAAATTGCATAGAATCATTAAAAAAAGGTCGCCAAACAGTTATATATTACTATTAGTACAGTGGTGCCCCGCAAGATGAATGCCTCGCAAGACGGAAAACCCGCTAGACGAAAGGGTTTTCCGTTTTTGAGTTGCTTCGCAAGACGAATTTCCCTATGGGTCTTGCTAGTCTTGCAATTTCCCCCCCCCGCTCCCCCCCCTTTTCTAAGCCGCTAAGCTGCTAATAGCCTTTTAGCAGCTCAGCCGCTAAGCCTATAATAGCCGCTAAGCCGCTAATAGCGCTAATCCGCTAATGGGGTTGCTTCGCAAGACAAAAAAACCGCTAGATGAAGAGAATCGCGGAACGGATTCTTTTCGTCTTGCGAGGCACCACTGTATTATTATAAGCACAATAGTTATTCTGACTAGTAATTATTAATAGTAATTGATAGCACTTTGGGAGTGTCACTTTGGGGGTGTGGGATAAGGGCATGGGCTAGCCTCCTTGTGCTAAAATTATGTTTTTAACAGGGATGAGGTTTTAACCTGGGTGTGTTGTTTTATTTAGGGGATGGGATTCTTTTAAATTATTTTTAAATATTATATCTTATGTATTTTGTATTTGTGGGCCGGGGTACTGTTTAGGGGCTTTTGTTTGGGGAATGTATTTTTTTGTATTAGTATTGTTAACTGTTTTAATTATTTTTACTATGTATTTTGTATGTTTTATATTGTAACTATATGTTGCAAACAACTCTGAGACCTACAAGTATAGAGTGGTATACAAATTATTATTATTATAATAATATTATTAGTATTATTAAGCAGTACCTGACATTTTCAGAAGGCAGAATTAAAATTCTTTAGTTTTTCAAATGCACTTGATGTGCTTTTTCATCAAACATAGACTTGATAAGCTAAATGTTGTCCAATCACAACAATAATAAATTTGAATTCCTCACACCCAAAGACATATTTTTAAGATCCCTTGCTGAACAAATTTGCAAAAAATTAAACTGCACACCCTACTGCCACAATCAGTTTGGACAATCCTGAGCTAGATGGATCATCAGCCTTGTTGGAAGTTTTAGACAGACAGAGTAAGGGACCTCCCAATTCCTAGCCTATCCCTGTACCTTTAACTTCTATGCTAACTTATCCCTATCCTTTGATGCTTAGATTGGTCCATCTTAAGTTGCATCCTGTTTATGAATTCCTCTTCTTCCTCACATGTTTTCTGGACATCAAGGACATGGGCATCTTGGATGTGTCTACTGAGAACAAAGCATGGTTTTTTTCCTCCAGCTAAGACTATAGAACACTTTCCTGTCAATAATATATTTCCTTTAATAAACCTAAGCTTTCTTTCTTTTCTTTTTTTTAACCAAGTCTCAGGCTGAATATATTTCAACTAAAGGTGTGCTCCAAGGAAAAAATCATTTAACTAAAGTTAACTGCTGCTGCTGCTGCTGCTGCATACATATACTATACACTAACAAGGAAGCTTCCTTAGATAGGTTTAAACAACACTATGTTTAGAATCAAGAGGACTAGAATCTTGCTTTCTTTTCAGGACAAAGACACTGGCTCAGTGGTACCAGACATGCTTTGCATGCAGAAGGCCCCAGTTTCAATCCCCAATAGCATCTCCAGGTATAGCTGAGAAAGATTCCTTCCAGAAACCCTGGAAAGCTGCTGCCAGTCAGTGTACACAGTACTGAGCTAGATGGACCAGTGGCCTGCCTTGGTGTAAGGCAGCTTCTTAGGTTTCTGTCCCTGCCTGCTGTTCTCCACCCACATTTAATTAGGCAAGCAAGAACCACTTAGCATGAATCAGAGCTGGGGTAGCCAAGGTGGCTGGGCTACAACACCCATCATCCCTGTGGGCTGATGACGATGGGAGCTGGAGTTGAAAAAAATGCTGAAGAGCACCACTTTGGCTATCACTGACCAGAGGGAAAAGCTGCAGCTCAGTGGTCGATTTGCTGCCTGCAAAAATTAGTGGAAACAGGAAAACTTTTAGTGTTGGGGGCGCCAGAAACAAAACGCCCTAATTGTACCCAGGCAAGCAGCAACGGGAAGTAAGGCTGTAGCAATACAGAAATGTCCACTGAAATGTCTTCTCTCACACGTGACAAACCACCCAAAAATGTGCTAATGAGCTTCCACACTAGGCACAATTGCAGATCTATAACAGGTTGGTTCTTCTTAATGGATTTTCAGCAGTAAGAGAAAATCCAGACGGAATGTCAAAGAAGTTACAGGCTGGCATTTTGAGACATGGTGCGGATGGTATGGAAAAGGTGCGTGAGCAGTGCCTGCTCCACAATAAACCTCCACCATGCAGCAGCCCCACAGAAAGCAATGGAACGTGAGCTACTCTGAGGAAAAGCATTTCTCCTCCGCTGGGCTTATCCTCTGTTTCTGCATGAGTCCCTGTTATGCACAGGCCTCCTCAGAGGGATGCCTCTTTCTATCGGGAGTGACCGATGCAGCAGTATTATCTGCTCTCAGGGGAGGCTGGTTAGGAGGAGGAACAGAGCACATACTCATGCAGAGACACAACAGGCTGCCTCCTCTGAGGATGGGCACCACAGCCCCACCAGTACGCCAGCTTGAAAAATTAGTATCGCACATGTAGGGAAAGTTAAGAAGCTTCAACTATACTAAAGCAGCAATATCCAGTCATTTCTGCTTTGCCCTCCAAAATGCAGCTTTATGGTAAGCAAGTTACTAGTCCTCATTAGTACTGCAAGCAAGCAAGAAATGGGAATTTTATTTTTTTAAAGAAAAACAATGAAGTAGAATTCTGTGCCTCCTGCTTGTAAAACCAGTCAAGGAAACCTAACCCCCTATTTTAGAAGCAATGACGATTACAAGAGAGGTCAACCACGACAAAAACCTCAGCAGCAATTTAAAAAAAAAATTTTTTTTTTGGATGAAGGGAGGAGGCAAGATCATTTAGCTCAGTATTTGCTAGGTAGTTGACTACATAATCATTCAGGAGTGTGTTAGAAGCCTAATAGCCTTCTCTCCTAGCTTCCCTCTGCCTCTCATTTTCTTTACAAATCATTTAAGAATCGTTAATGGTTTCCGGAGGAGAGAGGGGAAAAAACCCAAGTACCACCATTAGCGCTCATTCATATTTATGTCATTTTATTTGGGTAATTAAACACAAAAGCTCATCATTTAAAGGTGCACTATCCTTCTCAGTTATATCGCTAACCAAGTCAAAGTCGGAATGACAATGAATTCCGCATCATGATTTAATAGGCGGTCGTGTCAAAAAAAATCAGAGATGAAGTATCTCGGCAGTCTAAGGGCTGCAAACAGCTGGTGCGCTCCTTGGAGGGGCAAGCCCATGGCCAGGAGGCAAGCAAACCTACAAAAAACCCAAAAAACCCTCACACAGGCTTGAGCCTCTCTCCCTTTTGGCCACGGGGATGCGTCAAAATGAGCCTTAAGAGTTCTGCTCTTCTTCACTCGTGAATCGCAGCCAAAAGGCATAGAGGAAAAGTGGCGAACCATAAGCAGGACCACTTTAGCCACATACTTTAATATGGCGTATGCCAAATGCTACAGCGGTTGGGATTATACCACCACCCCGGGTCGTGTGTAATGGTTTTAGTCGCTTAGCTAGAAGCCGTAACAAAACGCAAAGAGCATTAGGAGCCGAGTTACAAATTTAGCTCTTAATTCCTTGGCTATCGGGAAACGTAGCGAGTAAAATAATTCCCCCCCGCCCCTGTCATCCTCAAGCATACAGCTAAAAAAAAGAGGCTCAGCCCAACCATAATGAACTTGGGTTTTTCTCATCAGACGTCTTGTGTTTGGCAGATTTAAAACAAATTAATATGGCCATGAGGGTTCTATTCTGCATTCTTTTTTAAATAAGCAACAGAAATTCTCAGGAGTCCAGCGACAGTATGGCCCACAAGTTGTAAATGCACTGCAAAAATAGAAAAATAAATTATCCATGATATAAAAGGGAAACGCTTTTATATATGGATCTCAAAAAATACAGCCAAGTTTGGGTGGGGACAAGGAATGCATTTTTTTATAGCAGACCCCTTGCTTTGTTTCAGAATTAGATTGCTATTGAAACATTTCTCTGCTATGATGGTTGGAAGCATCATTAAAAAGAGAGGGAGAGAGAGAGAGAAGCCACAGTTGAGTGGTTAAGTAAATGCTCAGCACCTGAGCGATCCCAGGTTCTCCATTTAAATAATTTTTTGCCTGATCTCTTGCAAAGCTGCTGCTTTGGAAAATTCAGGTAATAATGGCTGGACGGTATAACTAAGAACTGCTAACATTAAGAATTGGTGCCTGCTCCTCCCTCCCTGTCCTTTTTCCTTTTGTGTCATGACTTTTAGATTGTAAGCCTGTAAGCAGGGAACTATCTTGGCTTTAATTATGTGCAAGCCTCTTTTTTTGGTGGTTACAATCGCTCTAAATATATGATGAAACCTCATGGCACCAATACAGGGCTGGCCGGGGTGCTTCTTGGACCAACTGCAGTATTTATATTGAGGGAGAGATGGAGAGATCTTGATTTTCACTGCTTCCAAAATTACAAGCAAGGCTCTGATAACTGAGGGTGCTTTTCCTAACAAGCTGTAGAGAGAGCCTTGGCAAGTTGAATTAAAATCATCTCTCAGCCTCAGCTTCCCCTAACTAGGAACAATGGGTGACCCTCTGGCAGGGTTATTAGGAAGGCTAATGTGGAGGCTCAAGGCCTGGCTCTTGAACAGCATTCCCTGGGAAGGTCTTGATTTAAATACTGCACTGATCCTGGAAAATTCTTCTGGCTCTGAAAAGCTCAGCTGGCCACATGTCAGGCACAGAGCACATACACAATTTCTCTCTCTTCCTGCTCACCTGTAGCCAATCACTCAGTGAGTTTAGGATACTTTAGGTAGAGTCTCCTCATAAAGAATATTATCACCATCAGCACTGTTCTGGGTGCCAACCCTACAGACAACGAAATTACCCTCCAAGGCAATGTGGCTCCCAGATGTTGCCCGACTACAACTCTTCACCACTGTCCCTTCAGGCTGGGGCTGATGCGATCTGGAGTCCAGCTACATCTGTCTGTTTGATCTGCTCATGACACTTAGATCCCACCTTTCCTCCAAGGAGCTCAAGGTGGAGTACATATTTCTCTTCCCTCACAACAACCCTGCATGATAGGTTAGGCCAAGAGTGAATGACTGACTCCAAGGTCACCCAGTGAGCCTTATGGGTCTGAATGGGGATTTGAACCCTGGTCTCCCAGGTCCGAATCCATCACTCTAACCACTATGCCACACTGACTCTCCTGGAGGGGCCAGTGGTTCCCCCCATTCCTGCTCTAAGGACAGGACCTTTTCAGTGGTGGCACCAGCACCCAGAACAGTGTTGGGGAGAGGGATGGAGTATGATGAACAGAGGAAGCTGCCTTACACTGGGTCAGATCATTGGTCCATCTATCTCAGTGTTGTCTACACTGGCTGGCAGCGGCTCCCCAGAGTTTCAGGCAGTAGTTTCTCCAAGCTCTACCAGGAGATGCTGGGGAATGAGCCTAGGACCTTCTGCATGCATGCAAGGCAGATGCGCTCTACTAGATCATCAGCACAGGCTTATAGAGCAGGCATAGGCAAACTCGGTCCTCCAGATGTTTTGGGACTACAACTCCCATCATCCGTAGCTAACAGGACCAGTGGTCAGGGATGATGGGAGTTGTAGTCCCAAAACATCTGGAGGACCGAGTTTGCCTGTGCCTGTTATGGAGTATGAAGCATAACCACAGGCTTCACAAGGTTAAAGGGAAGGGGTAGATGCTGTTGCTGTCTGAATGGAAATTGGGGAAGCAGCTTCATGTTCACCCCTGTTTGTAACCACCTCCCCAAAAATGCCAAGCGTATGTCTGTGTGTTACCTTTTCTTTTTTTGCACAGGTTAAAAATTGTTGCAAAAAATGCCCTGCTCTATTTTGGCTCAGTCCTGTTATTTTATCATGCTTTACAATACTGTATTGTGCTTTTTTTTTTACCTGCTGGCTATGAGCCACCTTGAGTGGCTTGATAGTGCAAAAGCAAGCAGGTTAAGTGTAAATAATTTTTTAAAAGGTAACACAGATTACCAAATACATGCCACATTTGAAAATATTGCATAAATCAATTATAATGGGGTCTGACAACCAACTAATTTTGTGGTGGTTGGTGATTAATCAGCTGACCTATATTAATTTGCATATTACCTTTTAAAAGCAAATATAAGTAAGGACTTTTTCTCATTTTTGAGATACATCTCATCTCATTTTTGAGATACTTGGAACTAACCAAAGCTACTGTACAAAGGTCCGTATAGTTAAAGCCATGGTTTTCCCAGTAGTGATGTATGGAAGTGAGAGCTGGACCATAAAGAAGGCTGATCGCCGAAGAATTGATTCTTTTGAATTATGGTGCTGGAGAAGACTCTTGAGAGTCCCATGGACTGCAAGAAGATCAAACGCATCCATTCTTAAGGAAATCAGCCCTGAGTGCTCACTGAAAGGACAGATCGTGAAGTTGAGGCTCCAATACTTTGGCCACCTCATGAGAAGAGAAGACTCCCTGGAAAACTCCCTGGAGACTGTACTTTTTGAGAATTCTAAGGAAAAACCATCTTCCGCAGAAACTGCTGCTTGCCTTCTATCACTGTGCCATTGAGAGCGTGCTCACTTATGGCTTATGTGTGTGGTACGGAAGCTGTACTACCCAGGACAGGATGGGGTTGTGCAGAGTTGTTAAGGCAGCAGAGAGCATTGTTGGCTGCCCACTCTCCACCTTAGAGCAGATTTATGCCACAAGGTGCCATAGGAAGGCACTGGACATAGTAAAAGATCCATCGCATCCTGGTCACTGTCTCTTCGAGCTCCTGCCGTCGGGACGGAGATACAGGACGATGAAGACAAGAACGAGCCGTCTTAAGAACAGCTTCTTCTCCAGAGCGATCTCGGCCCTGAATGGGAAGCCTGGACTTTGAAAGTCATCTAATCTTCCTTGCTGTATTATATTGTATTGTTTTAATTAGTGTTTTTATAGTTGTTTTGATTTTGTGTGGAGTGCCCTACCTGGGTGGATGGAGCAGCCAAGTAATTTCGTTGTCCCCGAGAGGGGGCAATGACAATAAAGATATTATTATTATTATTATTATTATTATTATTATTATTATTATTATTATTATTATTATTAAAAGACCCTGATGTTGGGAAAGATGGAGGGCACAAGGAGAAGGGGATGACAGAGGATGAGATGGTTGGATAGTGTTCTCGAAGCTACAAACATGAGCCTGACCAAACTGCGGGAGGCGGTGGAAGACAGGAGTGCCTGGTGTGCTCTGGTCCATGGGGTCACGAAGAGTCGGACACGACTAAACGACTAAACAACAACAACAACTGTCAGTTATTAAAAGGTTGTATTCTAGGAATCTAGAACATTGCCACAAGAGCTGCAAAAACATACAAGTTCAAACCCAATCAGTATTATGGAAGGCTGAGATTTAAAGGATTGGGTTGGCACTGATTTTGATGCATCCATCAGATTTATTCTGCAGAACGTTGCTTGTGTCAGTTGCTTGCTGTCTTCTATGAGAAAGAGCTACAGGTTTTTCATCTAGAAAAGGCAAACTATCTGCTTGTGTGAATGACCCAACCTCAAGTTTCTCCCCCCACCCCCAATCAAATTTGGCAGACGGAAAGGTGAGGGCATGGATACCTCCATGTAACCTCAGCTCCAATAATCAATTAAATCAGGAGGCAAAATTTTAACCCAAGGTGTAAACTTCTTGTTCAGGAGTCCCCTGACGAAATCTATTAAAATCCTGTGATGGCAGGAAATAATAAAATTGCGACGGTTGCCACGTTATTTGCAATTATTCTTATTTTAAACCTGCAGCCACAGCCGGCTGCTCCGACCCCCAGACGCAACAGCGATGCTCCCCCGCATACAAATCAATGTGTTCACAAGCCAATGAGGAAGAAATTCCTCCCTCCCTCTCCCACCGCTTCCCATCCCATCCCAGCACCGCCACCTCCTATCCACACTGCAAACGCCTGCCACTTTGCAGACCTGGGTAAAGCCAGGATTTGCGCGAGAATCCCAACACTTTTAGTTTAGGCGAATATTTAATACTCTTATTAATCATTTTTAATCCGTTTGCCTTTAATTAAGAAACAGCATGATGCTCTCCTATCAACATATGCCAGGGAGCAGATTAATTGTGGCTTAAGATAACTCTCCTTGATTGGTGTAATGTATTAGCTAACTAGATGCCTGGCTTTTTTTTTTCTTTAAAAAAAAAAAGAGAGAAATATGCTCAGACACTACCTTCAAAAGCTTGGAGCCCTCCAGAGGGGTGTGTGTGTGTGTGTGATTTCCCCCTTCCCCAAATATATTTTTCTCTTCCAGCGCCCCAGAGCACTTCAGAGGAGATATGAATCTATGTATCTCAACTGCCCTTCAAGTCACAGAACAGGAAGGGCGTAACAGCACGTCTGTGACAAAGGAGCAGCAGCTGTAGAGACTGTCCAGCATAAAATATAACCAAGGTTGAAAACAGAGAATGAGGTTCGTAATGTGAGGGGAGGGAGAAGTGAACACAAGACGCTCTCTTGGACAGGTTAAAATAAACATAAGGAACACTAAGATGTTCCTTTTTGAAAGACGCAGAAATAAGTACAGTAGTAGAGCAGGATGAGTGAGGCCTTCCAAAATTCAACTGCTTCAGGGAAAATGCTCCTAAGCATCTAATGTGTCGGTTCGTGGCAGAAAAGCTGAACTGTGATAGAAGATCCCTCTGTACCTTTAGAATCTACTCGCTGGGCAAAATGAGGCACAAACCGGATTGAAGATGTCTACCACAGAACTCTCCCAGCCCACATCCTTGTTTTCCATGTGGAGAGAAATGAAGTTTTTTGTTCGGGGAAGTGTTCCACCCCTGTCTGCATCCCAGACACCTTTCTTGGGAAGAATGAGGTCTAACCTGGATTGAGTCCACCAAATTCTGCCTTGTAGACCAGTTGAATTCTTTGCTTTGTACAAATTACTTGGCGGAAGTGCCTGGTGTTCCTCAGGAATTCAAGGACCTCCTTCCCCGAAATGAAATCAGTGCGTTCTTTAAATCAGTGGTTCAAATCTGCTCACATTTGAAAGGTTCAGCTGCCATCTTGATTCAAAACCCACTGATATCTAGGCGCAGACAAAACCCTGCTCCTTCATTTTAGGAACCGCCACACACAATTTACGATATCGTAAAGAGGTGTCCAAATTGCATAGGGAGCAGACCAAGAGACAAACAACTCTCCCAAACATGTAAGAGATGCAAATCACATCGCCTAACTCAATCTGCCTATTTTACTAAACTTATTCTGACTTTGTTTGCCATGAGGGGGCAGAGAAAGGAGATTTCCCCTTGTCTGCAGACCACTGGAAATTCTACACAGCTCCCCATCACCCCAACATCAGCTTCTAGGAATCTGCCAGGCTTTGGCCCCACACATCCACTTTATAGCCATGAAGGAGGACTGTAACGGCAAGATCTTCCAAATGTGGGCTGGATGCAAGCCACAAAAAGGTATGCGTTCATATTTACCTTGACCGTGCCCTCAACTTCCACAAACCAGCGTCTTAGCATGGCTTGGATCTGGCCATCTGTCAGTTCTGGGTTGGCATCATGGATTTTCTTCTTGACCAGATCCTCAAGGAGAAGGCGCCGGAGCCTCCAGTAAAAGAAAGTGCGGGATGTTTTCCACTCCAAAATATCCTGTGTGCATAGAGTGGGGGGGGGGGAGGTGATGAGTTGCAATGGATGTGGCAAATTAATAATAATAATAATAATAATAATAATTTAAAAAAATTATATCCCGCCCTCCCCAGCCGAAGCCGGGCTCAGAGCGGCCAACAACAACAAAAGCAACACAATTCACGTAAATCCCTATCAATTTCCGTATTTTTCGCTCTATAACACGCACCCGACCATAACACGCACATAGTTTTTAGAGGAGGAAAACAAGAAAAAAATATTCTAAATGAAACAGTGGATGTATGATTTTTGTGGTTCATGCTGTGGCTGTGGCCACAGACATGTGATCTGACGGTGAGTTTGGGGTAGCCCAATGCAAAAATCCTGAGGATCCATGTGGATCCATGCTTTGTAACCACGTTTTTGCACCACTGCGGCCCCAGGCAACAGTGGGTGCGTGATTTTTTTGGTGCAAGCTGTAGCCATGGACATGCTATGTTATCTGATGGTGAATTTGGGGTGACCCAGTGCAAAAATCCTGAGGATCCATGTGGATCCGTGCTTTGTAACCACGTTTTGAGTGGGGAGGGAAGGAAAAGCACTCAAGGGACAAGGAGCACGCGTGGGGTGTGTGGAGAAGGATGCTGCTAATAATGCAGGCAAGGGGTATAAGAGGAGAAGGCTCCTCTCCTCTCCCACTTTGCTCCTTTAAAGCAAGCAGGCTCTGATTCTCTCCCACCTCCCCGGCTTAGCGAGCTGAAAAATTTTGCTGCTATTTAGCCAGCTGAGTGGGCAGGAGAAGGGACAGAGAGCCTGCTTGCTTTAAAGAAGCCAACCGGACAGGAGCCGCTTACACTCGTGTAAGCAGCTCCTCTCCTCTCCTGCTTTGCTCCTTTAAAGCAAGCAGGCTCTCTGTCCCTCTCTCCTCCCCACTCAGCGGCTCTTCTCCCGCTTTGCTGTTTCAAAGCGAGCCACGGAGGAGGGAAGGAAGGGGAACCATGGATCCTCTGCTCACGACTGCAGCAGATCCCCCCGCCATCCGTAGGCATTCGCTCCATAACACGCACAGACATTTCCCCTTACTTTCTAGGAGGAAAAAAGTGAGTGTTATGGAGCAAAAAATATGGTAATTAAAATGCATTCTAAAATCAACTCATTCTAAAATCAATTCAAAATCAAATTAATGGCAACCATTGGGCTAGAGTTCTGTGAACCCCCCAACACACACTAAGCCAAGAGGGGAGGAACCTCTGGTCCATGGGCCTAACTTAGACCACCAGGCCTCCCCATTTGGCCCATGAGTCTGCTTAGCCAAGACATACCTCCCTGCCCTCCAGCAGGTATGGAGTAGGTAAAGTCACAGACAGGTCATGATGATGACAGATGTGGGGCGCCAACCACCTTGGTAGAGCATCAGACTCTTGATCTCAAAAGTCGTGGGTTCAAACCTCATGTTGGGCAAAATATTCCTGCATTGCAGCGGGTTGGAGTAGAGGACCCTTGTGGCCTCTACCAACTCTTCAGTTCTACGATTCTATGAAATATGACCTGAGAGAGAGAAGGTCCTGGGTTCAATCCCCAATGGGAATGTCCCCTGTCTGTAACCCTGGACAGCCAATGTAGGCAAGAAGAATAATATTTTTTTGTACCCCACCCATCTGAGTGGGTTGCCTCATTCACTCTGGGCAGCTTCCTACAGAATATACAGAAACACAACAGAGCAGCACACATTGAAAGCTTCCCAGGGCTGCCGTCAGATGTCTATAGAAGGTTGTATAATATCTCTATGACATCTGATGGGAGAGCGTTCCACAGGGAGGGCACTTTGTGGACCAGTGGTATCAGACAACTTGCTATATTCATGTTCACATCTGATGCCAGAGCGGTTTGTGTCCCTGCTCCCTCTAGATTGCAAACTGTTTCCTAAGTGTTGCTAGGGATAATATCTTGAAACTCTTTTCCTTTCCAAAATTTTAATATTAATGCCGCATGGTTAGTATAAACCACGGCTGGCCATGGCTCCCCCACCCACCCCTGTTTCTTTGAAATTTGGGGCTGTGAGGACCTCCTCAGTGACCATTCAAAGGATGTCTGCGCACGCCGGAGCTTTTGACAGCAGCAGCAGCAAGAAAAGAATTCATCGTACTTACCGTAATGACACCCTTCTCCTGCATCCGGCCGGGCGTGTCGTGCAAGTCAGCAAACTGCACTGCTACCTGATGGTAAATGGGAATTAGGAATTCCTCCCGTTCCTTCAGCTTGGTCTCCAGTTCCTTCCGCTCAGCTGGGCTTAGCTCCGGGGTGCCTGAAATCAAACAACAACAACAAAAAAGGATACCTGTCAGAGACCGCAGGGGAGAAGAGAGAGAGAAAGAAGCAGAAGGAACAAGCCACAGGGAACAAAAAAAAACCACTCTCAGCTCCTCCACCCCTACAGCTTAGAAACAAGTATTTACTCGGGTTCCCTCACAGGCGAATAAGCGAGCTCAAGACCTCAGAGATCCCAAGGCGCAGAAGAAGAAAAGCACAGAAGATACTGAGACACTGCAGATGTCCCAAGGCCCTGAACAAAAATAGGCAGAAGGTGCCAAGAGCCCAAAGAGCCCCTCATTTTCACACCATTATATCCTTGGCCAGTTCAGTGTCCTGCAATCCAACCCAATAGTTCTGATACAGAATCGGAGCAGGGTCAATCACACAGAGAGAGAGCGAGAGAGCAGACTGCATTTATAAAATGCATGCAAATCTACAGAGATCGCAGCTTCACACGCCATAATCTACGGTGCTTCCAAGATCTAGATTTTGAATTTCCAAGCTACAGAGCAGGGTTGCAGGGAAGGAATTGAAGGACAGAGGATAAGGAGATGAAATGAGTTGGAGGGACAGAGAACAGTATTCTTGGGCGAAGCACAAGGATCTGTGTGGGACAAGAAAGAAGCACACACATATCCCTGTTAGCCAATCCCACCTGCTTCATTCAGAAAATTCTGACCCTGTTGCTGAGTTATATAAGCTCCAGATGTGGTGGAACTCCCACCTGCCTCACCAAGCAACACCTGGAGAGCCACAGGCTGCCCACCCCTGCTTTCAGGAGATTAGGGCTGCATTTCTGGACTGGACCAATATCTACCCAGCCCCATCAAAAATAACCCAATGGGTTAAATAACCTCCAATCAAACTGGGATCTGAATATCAAAATGCATGCATTCAGTTGATTTTTTTCATCTCACTCTGCATCTACTTTTAACTATTTTCATATGTGCAATTGTTTTCAACTGGTCTATAAACTCTTTTTAAAAATCAAAAATACAGGGCCAGTTTAGAAACAGCTCTATGCTCAGTGCAACATGAATGAATGATGACCCATAAAGGCAGCACTATGGACAGCTCAATGCAATGTGCTTGGCTACAAGGCCCACTCAGAGCTAGCACCACGGACAGCTCAAAGCAGGGTGCTGATAGACTGAGTCAGTCACTGTGCGCCCTTTGATCCAATGAGGATTTTAATAAGCTTAGCCACACTCGACTATGGCTGGAATCTAATGCTGGAATTTGCATTTAACATTGTATGTGCACCTTGGAATGAAGCCAAACAGAAGCTGAGCTGGCCTGTGCACTGGAGCCATTTCTCTTGGGGGCCATGCTGGAGAAAGCAAGAATAGCCATCCTGTTTCTTCCCATTGCAAATAGCAGGTCTTTGGGGAGGACAGTTCCAACTGGAACCACAGTGGGCACACAAAGGCTTAACCATACACACATGTGTGCATGCAATTGGCCCACCACACTATTTAAATTAGCAACACAGGGAGAAAACACGTGACAAGTGTCACGTGCAGCTTGGCGCTGAGGGGGAAGGCCGCCTGCTCCCTATACATGTCATTTCAGAACCTCAGAGTAACCCTCTGCCCCTTCAGATTGAGCCTGGCTTATGCCAAGTTTGCTACCAGCCAGTTATCCCTGCCTGTCCCTCGGGGAGGTCTCATTAACAGCAGGAAAGGCCCTGAGACCTTTCTCTAGGCCCCTTCTCTGAGGAAGGCAGGGAGGATGATGACAATGGAGAGGGCCTTTTCAGTGGTGGCTCCCCATCTCTGAAACACCCCAGAGAGTTCTGCCTAGCACCATCTTTAGCATCCATTCAGTGCCAGGTAAAGACTTATCATTCCCCTGCATGGCCCTTGGTGGATTGAGCTGTCAAAGCGTCCTATGGCTGTTACTGGGGGAAGGGGTCGATTTTTGCATGCTGTATAAAAGTGTTGGTATGATTTTTTATATATTTTCTATGGTGGGATATATTTAAGTTTATGGTTTTAAATGTAAGTCATTTGAAGACCTCTTAGGTAACGCACAGCTAGCTATAAGTCTCCAACAACAACATTAAATAACAATATAATGCAATTATTATTAGGCCTTGTGGACATGCCAAGAGTCACTGATGGCTGAAGGATGAGGCCTACTGGACTTCTCCTGTCTATGGCAACCCCTCCCTGTCACCAGTCCTACCCCCACCCTCACCCCACCACTCACAAAGGCTTGGTTGGAGAGCAGAGAGTGGGAACTGGAAAAGTGAGCTGAGGACCACCTCCCTAGCTCTCCCATGGATGCCTCCCACCATAAAAGATAGGGCAGGAGCCAACTACAGAGACAGACTTTTCAGTGGTGGCACCTTATATCTGAAATCCTCTCTCCAAGCAGCCTCACCAGGGGCCCACTTTGTTGACATGTGGGCAACTTGTCTACTGCTTTTAAGAAATGTTTTATTTTATTCTACTAGCATTGTTAACCACACTGCAGCCCAGGAACACGTGTTGATGAAGGTTTCTACATTTGAATAAAACTAAAGGAAAATCCCCAAACCTTCTTGGGGAAAGCACAGACAGACAGAGGCTCTTTCACAGATTTTTCTGGGGTGGGTGGGTGGGTTATGAAACCAAATTAATTATGGGGTGAGCTGGAGATTGCTCATCCCTCACTAGCTGTCAGTTGTTTAAGCCAGAGCGTGATGGAGGTGGGGGGAGAAACAAGAGATCTTAACTGGAGTCACTGGAACACTAGGAAGGTGCCAAGTCAGCCTATTGGACCAAATAGAGCAGTACTGCTGACACTGACTGGCAGTGGCTCTCTGGGGTTTCAGGCAGGGCTCTCTCCCAGCCAGGGGTTGAACCTGGGGCCTTCTGCATGCCAAGCAGATGCTCTGCCACTGAGCCATGGTCCTTCCCTGGAAGATGCATGTCACAAGCGGGGGGGGGGGAACCAGAGCAGAGGAAAGAAAGGTTTGATCAGATGCAAGACAGGGAAAGCGTGTGTGTGTGTTAAGGCAGCCCCCAGAACCAGGACCTATTCTAAAGTGTGTAAATATACAACACTGACCTCTGCACGCAAATGCGCTGGAGTTGACAGCATGTGAGATGCACATGCTTCATAATTGCAGCATTACATTTTCATGTTGTGCCGCTGCATTCTTCTAACATAAGCCAAGCGCACCTCAACGACATTTACTACACTAGGAATCAGGTGTGGGAAGGCTACTGCTAGTGCCATAATTATTTTTAAATATAGTAATGTGCTGCCTTCTTTTCTGTTTTCTATTGCTTTTTTTTAAGAATCCTTTTTTTTTTTTTTTGCAGGACAGCAGCAGTTGTTAAGGAAGCAAACACTCATGTATTCCAGACCGTCTGCCACCCTTGTGTTGTCAAGCCAGCCCCAGTAATGATCCAGGTGAGATTAACAAATATGTCAATGTCTATTTTCTGCTTAATTTAAAAGTGGCGTCTATAAAGATTTTTGGCTTCTGAACCCTCTTCTCCTGAAAGAAAGAGGTAACAATGAAGGATGGGGAAGGGGGGGGAGAAGGGGAATAAAGAGTGATTATCCTATCATTGATTGATTGTCAGGAACGTTTCTTATTCACTGGGTATTGTAAAAGGCTAAGCTCTCAATCAATTCCATAAGACCCCTGTACAATTAAATATAAAGGAATAGGTTTCTTTCTTTTGCAGTCAGATCATCAGGCCTCGCACTTAAAAGACAGGGAGGGCTTTTACGCCTGTGCAAATAAGAAAATCTTCAAGGGACTCCTGAAGGAAGCGAAGGATGGTTCCCGCCGAACCTGTACAGCTAGGGAGCTTCACAGGGGCTGGCCTGCCACACTAAAGACTCAGTCCCTAGCGATGGCCAACTGAACCTCAGGGGTCGCATGGGGAACAACCAGAAGTGCCCCATCAGAGGATCCCAGCCATCAGGAATCTGTCCTTAAGTTTCATGGACTGGTAGATGCAGAGGAATGGTGGGAGGAAGCAGTTGAGGAGGGAAGAAGGCTCAGAGTCTGGGGAATGGTGGTGAGACGGTGATGAGTGGTTAAAGGGAAAAGAGGGAGAAGACTGGGAGCAGGAGGTGTCAGAAGCTGAAGAGGCAACAGGGCTTAGTGAGCAGGGGGAGTCCGTGGCAGAGAGAAGTCCAGAATCAGAGGCAGAAGCAGCAGAAGAGGGAGGCCAAGAGGCAGAGATGAGTCAGGCTGGGAAAGAGTCACAGGTGTCTCCTGCTCTTGCTGTGACCAGCTCCTCTCTCTGCTGACTCCCAGAACCAGAAGAGGCATGAGGTGGAAGGAGCAAAGACAGGCATGCAGGTGCAGTCTCTGACTGCTTGGGAAAAGCCCTGGTGAGGAGGTGACATAGGCAGCTGTAAGGAGGCAGGGACTTTTAGTCTCGGTAACTGATCTTCATGGAGCAAGACCACTTGGAATGAGCTGTTATGCTCACTAGGCCCAACACTCAGCCAAGTTTGTGGAGATTGTGCTTTTGCTAATAAAGAGTTAGCTCCCAACTTTGTACTGACCAGCATACTCCTGTGGCAAAAAGATACTATAGGACCAAGTTGTTTAGGGCATTGTGAATTTACACAAGTACCTTGCAACCAGTGCTACTCTCCATAGCGGGGTAACAGGTTGCCAGCAATCTGCTCCTGTGAGCAGTCTGGCTGCTGCATTCTGCGCTAGTTGAAGCTTCTGGACCAAATGCAAGGGTAGCCCCACATAAAGCGCATTACAGTACTCCAGCCTTGAGGTTACCAATGCATGGACCACAGGAGTCATCAGGCTGTTGCGGTCTAGGTACATTCAGGAGGATAAGGCTACCAATGGCTACGAGCCATGATGCCAGTGTTCTACCTCCAAGGCAGTATATGCCTCTGCATACTAGCTGATGGGAGTCACAAGTGGGGAGAAGGCTACTGCACCTGTGCCTTGTTCACAGGCTTCCCAGAGGCACCTGGTGGACTGATGCGAGACCAGGAAGGTGAGCTAGATGGGCCATTGGCCTAATCCAGCAGGGCTCTTCTTTGCATTCATGGATCTCTGAACACTAGTGCCGTTGAGAGGCAGATTGCATTTGCAGAAGCTATCAGCACAGACAACTCATACACCTTGTTTTTATTTTTTTAAAGAAAGATCCCACAGCTCCAAATTTCCAACAATGCATCACCCTCCAAAGTCATCTGATGCCAAATGGCCATTCTGGAACTCACAAAGCACCAAGCAGGCAACGGCAGGGGAGAAGATCACGAGTCTGAAGGGGTTTCAACTTGCGTTCCTTTTAAGAACGAGATGGATGCTCTCTAGCAAGTCAAAGATGTTGGCTAGTCCATCCCTCCCAACCCGGTGTGTGTCTCATTATGTGTGTGATTCAATAGGTCAACAACTCATAAGCAGCTGATCTGAGAGGACACATTCACCATGGTGCTGTGAGAACGTTTTTATTAATATTTCTGAACATTTAAAACTTTTACCATATAACAAAATCTGTGCTTCTCCCAAGTTGTAACATACCACGCCCGAAAGCAAGAGGGCAAGTAAACAACAGAAAGTTAGAAAGCCGCCAGTCACTGCATTTCTTTCAATCTCTCCCAATTTCCCAAGCCAAAATAGCACCGAGAGCCACAATCTCGAATGCTGTTAAGACACCATACGGTGTTCATACAATAAAATCAATGCTAAAAAACTCATTTAACCTGAAAACGTGACTGATCTAGGCTCCTAGTAGTTCAGTATCCCTTATCTACTGACACTGAGTGAACGGAAACTCCAGAAGATTCCTTATATACTTGGTCATGCTATTTGCCCACCTAGCCCAGTTTTACCAACTCTGACTGGAAGCAGCTCTCTAGGGTCTCAGGCAGGGAAAGGTCTCCCACCATAACTAATGCCCGATCCTGTTAAGCTGGAGATGCCGGGTACTGAAATTATGAGTCTTCTGCATGAAAAACGGGGAACCTCAGTCTCGGGGTGGGTGTGACATACGTGGCCCTCCAGGCCTCTCTAACTGGCCCTTGGGATCCCGACAAGGCCACCTTCCTCACTGGCCCTGCTCTGCACCTTCCTCAAGTAATTCTACCTGGCTGGGGAAAGTGTGCATGGACTGAGATAGAATGCCTCTTGCTTGCTGGATGTGTGTATGAAGCCACACACACTTTTGCCACACCCAACACCTCTAGAAGGGTCCCCACAAAAACACAGCTCTTCCCTTAAGGATTTCCATTCAGTCCTCCCAGCTCCCAGCTCCGGCTCTGGGTATGTGAAGCAGCTCATTTTTGACTGCCTTACTGAGCTCAGGACCACAGTGCCTTTTCTGTGGTGGCTCCCTGCTTATGGAATGCTCTTCCTAGGGAGACCTGCCTGGTGCCATCACTATCTATTTTTAGGCACCAGGCAAAGTCATTTCTTTTTACCCAGGCTTTTGGCCATAATCTGGAGGGGTTTTTTTTTAGACATTTGTGATTTCTTTCAGTGGGTGGGATGTGGTAGGTCTGCCTTTTATAAGCATGAATGTGATTGTGGTTTTTATTCTGTTTTGGTTTTATGCAAGTTTTAATCTTTGTACTACTATGTAAGTCACTTTGGGTTACGTTTTGTAAAGAAAAGTGAATAATAAGTGCACATAAATAAATGAAGGAAACTGGAAGTCTGAAGGGTGTATAAGGGACATGTGAAAGGAGAATGGGAGAAGAAATCATACTCTGCGAGGTGTAAAGGCAGTAAGAGAAAACGCAAAATAAATGGCCTTTTCCAGTTAGCCTCTTTATCAGCAAATTCTGCCTAAAAAGGAGAGACTGGATCACAATACTTCCAGAGCCAACGTCTGTACTTAGTTTGAGGAAAACTGAGCTGCGGAACTCATTGCCACAAGGAAATCACCATGCCAAATAATTCAGCCATTTCAAAAAGAACAATCTCTCAATAGAAAATGATGTTCTTAATTGTGAACTGATATGGACAAACTCTGTCTCTATCCACTACCATTTTGTAGCTGACTCCAACCCTATACCAAGTCTCTCCAGTGGGCCCCTGCTCTGTCCTGTGTTGTGGAGTTCCACTGGCTGACTGTACTGAATTAAAAACCACACTTGGCTGCATGCTGCACTATGGCCAGTTTCATATTGACTTCATTTTCAAACGTTGGCTTGATTGTTTTCTCACAGTCACATATTCCTGGTTAACCATTTCTGCCGACAAATCATCACCAGAAGACTTAAAAATAAATAAATCTCATGTGAGTTTTTGTGGGTTGTTGTTTTTTTTAATAAAAAAAGCCTAACTGGCAAGCTCTAAAAAGTTTAAGCAGCCTAAAAGCGCTAAGACACACAGCCTCACATCCCCCCCCTGCTGCGCCAAAGCTCTTCCGCTTACACCAAAGCTCAACACGTAACATTGAGTGACATTTTAATAAACACGAAACTAATAAAGATTTCGGTTACGACGCTTGGGAAAAAATTGATAATGAGCAGATCTGTGTCACATTATTCAAGATCTTCCTTGTGCTGCCCCCAAGCCCTCTCTGCCAGTGGAAACCCAGTGGCGGAGAGAGAGGTTCAGAAGGAAAACGCAACGCTGCCCTCGGATTCCCTCCACCCAGCCACCCCCCGCCCCACGCAAACGACACACAGATGCAAGAGCACCGTCCGTCGTGTCACCGTCGTCCCCCCCCCCCGATGTTGCCACAAAGCAGCCGCTCGGTAGAAATGATGGCGGCCATTCAGGGGTTAAGAGAGGCAGCGAACCCCCAGCTAATGAGCAAGTGTGCGGCAGGCTGTTGTAAGATAAATGGAACTCTCTGCGCTTCTGCTGGAGTCAGCATGAACCGCGGCCCTGCGGCTTGTTTGTGGCAAATGGAGTGCGCAAAATATCAAAGGGCAGTGATCCAGAAGACGACCGGCTTTGACAAATTTTAAATTGGCCAGAAAGAAAAACCGGCACAAAAAAAAGGAAAAAAATATGAGAGAGGGAGAAATTATGCAATTCGCTGTGTCCTACAATCTAGGCTCATCCTGCTTTTGAACAGCATTAGTGGGTGGGGGAGAATCACCACCACCACCGATGGCCCGACATTGAGAGCAATTATGAGCCATCTAAGCAAGACACTTATCAGCAACCAAAGCTTTTAATGCACACTCTCCCATTCTCTCTGGATGGTGGAGAAGGGGCTCCGCCTATGGTGTCACTGGTGGTGTTTTGCACAGAAATTATTAGCTTGTTTCTTTGGTGGGGGGAGATTGGCGTCAATAGATTTTTTTATATAAAAACAAAACGCACACAAACAAACCATGCTCTTTTAAAAAAGGGCAGGGGGAGAAATTTGAAGCATCTTTTAATGGTAGTAAAAAGTGCTCTTTTTGGTTTTGTGTTGATACCTCCGGAAGGCTGAGTGCAAACCAGGGTGAGAAGAAGAGATTCAGGGGACGTTAACAGGAGCTGAATCAAAAATGGGGATTCAGGGTGTGAGTTCAGCACATCTGATGCTCTGGTCGGGAGGAGTCATGTGTTAAAAATAATGTTCTCATCAGTCCCCACCCTTGTGCTCGGACACATCCAGCCCCTACGAAGAAAGGGCAAACTGTTCCTGGTTTGCCGTACCACAAAACGCTTTCAGACACAGCTTCAGGGTTCAGTGCAAAGCAGCCTAGCTGCAATGTTTGTGGGTTTTAAACCAAGCAGCCTAAATGCAACCTCCATACAGATATGGCACCAACATGCAGTAAGGTATTTTAAAAAAAGTCAGAAGAATGTAAGGGCACAAATAAGAGCTCTGCTGGATCAGACCCATGGCCCTCCAAGTCTAACATCCTGTTCTCACAGTGGCCACCAAGATGTCTGTGGGAAAGCCAAACACTGGACCTGAGCACAGGAGAACTCTCCTCTCCTGTGGTTTCCAGCAACTGGTATTCAGAATCATTTTTGCTTCTGACTGTGGAGTAAGAACATAGCCCTCTCCTCCACGAATTTGTCCAATCCTCTTTTAAAGCCACGCAAGTTGGTAGACATCACTGCCTCCTGGGGAAGCAAGTTCCATAAACTACGTGCTGCACAAAAAAGTACTTCCTTTTATCTGTCCCGAATTTCCCAACCTTCAGCTCCGTTGGATGAGTTCTAGTGCAATGAAAGAGGGAGGAAAAACTCCACTTTCTCCATGCCATGGAACATCTAATAAACGCTTATCATGTCACCTCTCACCCCTTTTCTCTGAACTGATACACTTTATTGAGTAGAGAAAGCACTGTGTAAATCCCAAATATTACTACTGTGTCCAGGTCCAGCACTCCTCCAACCACCTGCCTCATTCCCCCTAATGGACCAGCCTCCACTGTAAATTAATGCAGGAACCGTAACTGCAGCCTCCAATTGTTTCCAAAAAATCTACACACCTGGCCTTAGACAGGCCTTTCCAGACAACACACTCCCTCCTAAATGCTTTCTTGTTCTCTGCCTTACAACCTGAGGAATAAGGAGTGGAAAAACACCACCGAACACACCTTCAGCCCCCCACCCCCCATGATTCTGACAGGCAAAAGCCTCAAAATGGCTTCCCCAACAGAAGGGGAAAGTGGATGCATTTCTTAGAAACTAGCTGGACATGTTTTTATTTGCACATGAGCAACCCCACCAACACTCACCAAGTCGTTCTGCCAGACGCACATAGATGGGATCCACACGCCTCATTGTCTTCACCAAATCTTTCTTTCGGAACTTGATTTCCACTGTGCCTTCGGGCTCCAGAACCCCTCCTCTGAAGAAAGGGGGTGGGGGAAATAAAAAGGAGTATGTTCTCAAAGAGGCTACTCCATTCAAGGCTGAGTGCCTCTAGACCGGGAGGTGCCCCTCAGTGGGGAAGACCCTTCTCCCCCACAGCAAGCAGATTCAAACCTCATGAAAAAGAGGGGAACTCTAGCACTAAATCATATATTAGACTAGGATTTATTTGAGTGTGGCATCCGCCCTGGGGGAGGAAGCGCTTCATAGCAAAAAAAATCCCCAGACCATGCATTCCTTTGCATTGTTCAAATTGCCAGACAAGGCTTATTGGCAGTTTTATGCCTTAAAAGCAGCCTTCCCGGACATGCTGCCCTCCTGACATTCTGGACCACAATGGGCCGTGCCAACAGGGGCTGATGGGAGTTGTAGTCTGCTCCATAAGCCACACCTCTTGTCCCTATTTCACACCCTTCCAGAGCGGAATCTCAGATGCAGAGCCCAAATGCAGGCCTCTCTGTACAGTGGTACCTCGGGTTACATACGCTTCAGGTTACAGACTCTGCTAACCCAGAAATATTACCTCGGGTTAAGAACTTTGCTTCAGGATGAGAACAGAAATCGTGCTCTGGCGGTACGGCAGCAGCAGGAGGCCCCATTAGCTAAAGTGGTGCTTCAGGTTAAGAACAGTTTCAGGTTAAGAACGGACCTCCAGAACGAATTAAGTCGAGGTACCACTGTATGGCCCTAAAACTCTCTCCAGGCCACACCTTTTCCCTAGCCACGCCCCTTCTCCCCAGGCCACGCCCCTCACTGCTGCAGTCAGGTGGACTTGAATGGGTCTGTCTCTGTACACGGCAGCTTCTGACAGGTTGTTGGGACTCTCAACTTCATGATGATGAGATCTGGGCATCCCTCAGCTAGTTGGGCGTTTGCATCTCTGAGGCAGGCAAGCTGGGATGGAAGGAGGTGCGAGACTGAAGCAATTACCTGCTTTCCCGATCTGCGTACATCTCCATGTGCCGGGGGTTAATGGTGGGGTCGATCACCACCCAAGAGCCTCCTCTCAGCTCCGCTTGGGGCGGGATGTAAACAAGGACAGGCTGCCTGTACTCCCGCAAACCGTCCACGATGTAGGCCCCGAATTTCAACACCTGGTCGTACATGTCTGCACAGGGAGGGGAAAGGACACAGGTGTAAGAATCCTTCAAACAGGAAGTAAGGCTGCACACAGAGCCCACCACGGTTAACTCATGGAATTCACAGCTTCAGCTTGAGGTGACGTGGCCACACGCCATTTATCTCCGATGGCTTGTTTTCGCTATTTAATGGTTAAGGCAGATAGATCCATGGCTGCTAGCCACATGGGCCAAACAGAACCTCCACATTCAGGGGCAGTCAGACTGCATGACGGCAGCCTTTGCTGACCTTGCACTGTGCTTGCTAAGAGCTGCTGTCCAAAACATCTGGAGGGTGTTTTTCCTGGCTACCTCATTGTTTTGCTTGTAGTACACAGGAGTGGCTGATCTATTAGGGCAGGCATGGCCAAAATTGGCCCTCCAGATGTTTTGGGACTACAGCTCCCATCATCCCTAGCCAACTGGACCAGTGGTCAGGGATGATGGGAACTCTAGTCTCAAAACACCTGGAGGGTCACGTTTAGCCATGCCTGTATTAGGGTGAATGGGGCTCCGGCCCACCAGTCCCAGTTTGCCCTCAAACAGCTTCCACCTGGCCCTGCCTGGCAGCTCCCTCTTCTTCTATCTCAGTGTTGCCCCTTGTAGAACTGAGAAGTGGGGAGGCGGAGGAAGGGGACAAATCTAACTAGTTGGCTCTATCTGCCATGGGCTCTGGCTCCCCCTACTGTTGGCCTCCCTGCCTGACACCCCCTACCAGACACTCGTGGGTTCATTTACAAGGTGGTTGCAATCTAATATTCCTGGTTATCTTGAGAAGTGAGAAATCCTTTTTTTTAAAGACTGCACTCCAGAAGGATTCCCAAGGATTGCTCAAATGTATTCTTAAACCGATGTTCAGGTGAACGGAACACTAAAAAATAAATACCGGTAAATGCTAGCAGCAAAGAGGGGAAACTTTTTTTAAGGGGGAGTGAATGTCATCTCTGGGTGAAAAAGAAAAGATCCTTATTTTTTATATAAATATATATATAAGGGGAATGACAAATTTATTGCTAATTAAACAATCACTTTATTATGTAGTGCTAGCAATAAACCACTTGAAGCTCCTTTCAGCTAATTCCAATGTTAAGAAAATAATTGCTCAATTCAAATTATTTTAACCAAATTAATTCTTTAGGAGACATTTTTTAGTAGTGCTACATAATAAAATAATTGTGTAATTAGCCTGGCATTTTTCACTCCTGCCATGAGCGTATATTTTAACTCGGTAGAAGGAGGCTGCCCAAATGGGGAAGACTGCACTCCCTCCCTCCCTCTCTTTCTCATTTGCACGGAGACAGAGATTTTTTTAAAAAAAGAGAGAGAGAGAGAGAGAGAGAGAGAGAGAGAGAAAAGGGAGACGGGCCAGGAATGAATCAAAGGGAGCTTCCTGAAAGTAGCTATTTTTGCATGGAATTCAATTGCAGACTGGCAAGTCCAGGCTGCATTAATTTATACCACCACCCCTCTCTCTTTAAAAAATAACTAGATTTGTTTTCCTAATGTGATGGATGAACCAGATCATTGTTTTTGGTGAGCATAGTGTTCTGCAACCTTCCTACAGACCACCTGAATGGATATTCTCTACTGCCACCTGAGAACCTCTGCAGTGGGCAGTACTGAGCTAAATGTACCAAAGGTCTGACTTGCCTCCTAGGTACATTTTTGCTTGTGTTCCACAGTCCCTCCATTGCCCTCTGTTAAACTAACAGGCAAAGGCAAAGGCTGCATTGAGAGAAGTGGGTTTTGGACAGAGATCTGACGAAAGTAAAGGACTGTGCTACTGGAGAAGAAGTCCCTAGTATAGCTGGGCGGACTTACTGAAGGGGACACAAGCTTATTTTAGAGCAGGGATGGGGAACCTGTGGCCCTCCAGATATCATTTGACTCTAACTTCCACCAACCCCAGCCAACAGGGAGTTGTGATCCAACATCTGGAGGGCCACAGGTTAGAGGAAGAGCAGTGAATGTCATGTCATGTTACGTCCAGGGACGTAGGAAGCAGACTATTGGACATCTGGCTCAGTGTCGTCTACCCTGACTGGCAGAAGCAGCTCTCTGGGGCTTCGGAAAGGGGTTCCCCTCCAGTTCTATCTGGGGGTGGTGGGTGCTGAACCTGGGGGGTCTCTGCATGCGAAGCAGGGGCTCTAACCAAAACAGAAGCAGAGATAGTTGGTCCCCTCTCTCCGATGGGCTGGGAAAGCATTTTCAGTTTTGACACAATGACCTCAGAACATTCTGCCACCGACAGAAAACCCTTCAAACCGTCCGGTGCAAAGTTAAAAGTCTAATTTCCCAGGCCACCGGAACAACCTTATAGGTTTGCACTGGCAAACACAGGCATCTGGAATTTTTCTCTGCTCGGGTAGCTGCACTTTCTCTCTCTCTCTCCCCCACCTGCTCTCTGACTCTGTCCATCAATTCTGGGCAACACTCAAAGCTCGAATCATCCTTAGCAGTTTGGATGGAGCTTCAGAGTAAAAATGACAAAACACACACACACACACACACACACACACCACCCAAGCAATAGACCCATTGCGTACATATAAAAAGAGTCTACTAAATCCATTACGCTCAGGTTCCGCCGCGATATAAACATGCAGGTAATCAGAGTTTGTTGTAGTTGTTTTTAAAGGTCTTTTCATTATTATCTTTTTCATTCTGGTCAAAGTCTCTGGTAACCGTTTCCCCTTTTTATTGTTATTTATAGCCTGTCCCAGGGGGTGGGGGTGGGGTGGGTAAAATAATAAGTATAACATGAAAAACCAACCGAGAGCGACCCCGTAGCGCTACCAGCAAGGCGGTTTAATATCTTTGGGATTTGCATCCTATCAACCGCTATTCACGCTGAGCCCAAGACCCCGGTGCTAATTTCGAGTAAATTTCACGCTTGATGTCTCGCTGTTGTGGGTCACTGGCGGTTCGTCTAAATAAACTGCTTCCCTCCATCTAAATATTCAAGGCGTCCTCTTCCTTCTTTTTTTTTTAAAGAGGAAATAATAATTTAATTTTTGCATTATGTTGAATAGCCTCACGGCTAGACGGAGCTCATTCGGCAAAAAGAAACCTTTCCCACTCTCGATATGCCTTTATTTATCATACAGAATTTTTGTTTATATATACATATATGGATATAAATATATGCGCAAAAGCCAGTATGTTTGGGGACACGTGTGCGTGCGTGCAACGGCTTAAATTAGACCTCCTAGGCCGACTTGTAAAGAGTCCCCCCCCCTCCTCTACTAATGTCAATTCTCAACATGGCAAGAGCGATCTCTAATCTTTTCCTACTCATTACACACAATTTTGGAGTCATTTTACCCACGGCGCAGCCAAATCTTAGCGGAGTGTGTGTATATATGCATGTATTTGTGTGTTCTTAGGCGCACCGAGGGGTGGTATAATTGTTTATTTTCACTCTCTGCTTAATCCTCTGCCCCCCTCCAGCTCCCGCCTCCCCCTACCGCCCAACATGGAAACCAAAATTGCAAGCGTTTCTCTTAAGGAGTGTGGGAAGATTGACAACAGATGCTCCCTTAACTTGCTCCCTGGGTTCCTCTATCTGCTGACACTGGATAATGTCCAAGGTGATCGCCCTTTAAAGAAGCTTCTTCTCTGGAATACATGTTCCTCCCCACAGTGGAAGCTGGTCCATGAGGACAAATAGGGCACTGCCCCACCAGCCTCTGTGTACCCTTGGCTAGCATCCACTTGCCTGCCTGCTGACTTAAAACCAGCCCAGAGGTGGCCCTTGCCATCAACTTCCTCTTCCTCATTGTCAGTTTTGCCCTTGTAGAATGCGGCAGGGAGGAGGATGTGGGGGAAACGAGAATTAGTCAATTTCACCTACCATTGGGTTCCCTGCCGTCCACCCCACCAATCCCAATGGGCAAAAGCAACCACTGGCTGAAAAAACCCCACCCATTTTTAAACAACAACAACAATAATAACCTTTCATTCCTCCAGAGAAGCCTCTCCAGTTTGCAAAGACCATCAGCGGCAGCCCTTCCCGGTTGAAATCCTTTATTGCTTGAGCCGTCTTGAAGGCTGAGTCAGGAAACCACACCTGGCCAGCCTGCTGGATAATCTGTTGCAAGGTGAGTGAGAGGAAATGGTTTGCAGGTGAGTACAAGCATCAACTGCAAGGCAGCATTAGCAGCAGCAGCAGCGAAAGCTGCCAGTACAAAACCAAAACCGATTAACTGCAGGAGATTAAGGTTACTTTAGTCCTTACACAGGGGGCTGCACTCAGAGCAGACTCGTGGAAATGGAACGGACCCATGGTGGTCCTGTCCGCTCATGTCAATGGGTCTGCTCAGAGCTTGATGAATCCTGGATACAGCCCCAGCAGAAACACCACAAAAGCTATTTGAAGACTTGCTGGGTCATCAAGGAAAACCTGTCAGGGCATCGGGGTTGCGAAAATAGGCAGGGCATGCAGCAAAATGGACATCACAGACATCCCCCAGAGCTATATCACTTCAAAGGGATATGCTTCGGATGCATGCGGCCATGTGAGTCACCCCAAGGACAGATTTCAAGTCAGGTCTTGTTGCAGAATTAACTGAGAAGTTAAGCAGTCCTTCCCATTCTACTAACACAGAGCTCTGTGTAACTTAGAGGCTTGTGTGCACTGTGGCCCATTGCCTCCAAAGTTTGTCCCATTTTTATTCATTTATTGCCTTTATATCCCACCTTTTCCTCCAAGATCCCCACAATAATAATAATAATAATAATTTATTATTTATACCCCGCCCATCTGGCTGGGCCTCCCCAGCCACTCTGGGCGGCTTCCATAAAAACCAAAAATACAATAAAATATCACATGTTAAAAACTTCCCTGAACAGGGCTGCCTTAAGATGTCTCTTGAATGTCAGGTAGTTATTTATCACTTTGACATCTGCTGGAAGGGCGTTCCACAGGGCGGGTGCCACTACCGAGAAGGCCCTCTGCCTGGTTCCCTGTAGCTTTGCTTCTCGCAATGAGGGAACCGCCAGAAGGCCCTCGGCGCTGGACCTCAGCGTCCGGGCAGAATGATGGGGGTGGAGACGCTCCTTCAGGTATACTGGACCCTGTTAAGGTAGGTTAGGCTGAGAGGCAGTGACTGGGCCCAAGGTCGCCCACGCAGCTTCATGCCCAGGTGGAGATTTGAACTCTGGCCTCTCAGGTCCTAGTCTGACATGTTCAACCACTACACCATGCTAGATCTAGTCGGAATCACCTTGTCACTTTCCATACCCATTTGCAAAGAACGAAACAGACACATTTTCACCACCCTCAACAACGACCGCCCTCAGCAGCATAGCTTGCATCGCATCCCCTAAGGACCCACGCCATGTTTTAGGAGCTAAAAAACCTACCTTGGCTTCTGAGTCCAGGTTTGCAGGGTCTGCAGGAATGGTCAGCTCCACTGTCCGGGTTTCAACCGCAACCACTCCAACAGGTATTCCACCCAGCCTGGTAACAAACGACAACATGCACAATTGTGTTTGTGCAACTTTACATTTTTAAAAACAAATTAAGTTGGATCCTGATCCAAAGTGGGATGGACCGGGTGAGAGAGGGGGTTAAACCCTTTCCTCCTGCGCAGTTTTTCCAACTGAAAATCCCCCAAACCCAAGGAAGAGACAGCAGCAGCTGCTGCTTGTGGGGTTTTGTTCTTTTTGTTTTGTTGGGGAAAATTGATTTTTTTTTAAAGACAGGGCAGGGGGAGAACCCTCACATACCCAGCCCCAAATCTATAGAGCACTGCCATCAATTTTAGAATTAAATATATGCAAAGTGATCAGGCATTTAGAATATTGCCTCGCCTTGGCCTTCAGTCTTTTAGTCACTTTGATGCATCATATATAGACATCCTTTCCCTCTAAACCACAGATGGGGCTTAAGTTGAGCAAGAAAGCCAGAGAAGTACATACGAGGCAGAAAATTCTCTCTTGCAGATATTACTGAGCTTTCACCAAACACCCTCCCAATCCTCCATACAGGCAAGGAAAAATGCATTATTTGCATTCAAGGACATATTCCACCCAGGCAAAAATATTAAAGGAAGGGATGAAGCAAGGGCAGTGAAGACTGTGGCCAGGGGACCTATGCAAGAGTCCTGAGGCCACACAGAGAGGCTTGGAGGGCCACATTTGGCCCCTGCGCTTGAGGTTACCCACCCCAACTTACTGTATTGACAAGTTTGGCTGTGACCTAGAAATCAGAAACCAGTTTTAATTTCATGTCCGTCTGGAAAACTCACAGCAGGGCCTTAAACAAGCCCCCTGCCCCAATCTGCAGTACAGAGATAATTATACTGAGCTCCCTTGCAGGGCTGTTGTAGAAATGACAACAAAATAATGTACCTTTAAGTGCTTTGAACATGCAAAATTCTCCACAAATGTCAAATGTCAAACAACGACTTACCTGGCTCTGCCAACCACAACTGTCTGAGCCCACGGCTGCATGATCTCCGAAAAGGAGCCGTAGTCAAAGAATCCAGAGAGCCACTGGCCCTTCTGAGCTACAAAGAAAGGCAGGGGAGGAAAAACCATCAAGAGGAGTGGAAGTGAGCGCACGTTGTCCCGAGTCTTGCGAAGCGGATTATAAATATGCAGATAAATAAACATAATTAAAAGCAAAGCACAAGACAATGCATACAAATTGCATATCTGCTCAGATGAATTATAACGTTTTCTTGCATCTGATGAAGTGGACTCTCAAGTGCAGGTAAAGGTTATGCCGCAATAAATGTGCTGTATCTTTTAAGGTGCCACGTACTGCACCTTTGTCGTCATTTTCAAAATGCTTTAGGGTTGCAGCCTGCAAAGTCATCCCATTTGCACAAGGACTTCTCCCTTTCCTCTCTGTGCCCCTCAAATCTGTCCTGGGAGTTCCCTCAACCCTCCAGAGCAGACTTGGCAGAGGGGGACAGAGGGGTGGGGCACATGGGGGAGAAAAGGAAATTGTGTTGCCTTGCTCTAGCCCAGTGTTTCTCAACCTGTGGGTCCCCAGTTGTTGTCGGACTACAACTCCCATCATTCCTAGCCAGCATGACCAGTGGTCAGGGATGATGGGAGATGTAGTCCAACAACATCTGGGGACCCACAGGTTGAGAACTGCTGCGGGTCTAGCCAAAGGGAAGGAATGACAAAGAGATCTGCCAAGCCAACCAAGGAAGTCTCATTGAAGCAACAAGCCAAAGAGGGGCAGCTGATACCCCCTGGACTATGTATAAATTGAAGCATGTTCAGTTTTCTCCGGAGACAGGCAATTCTGCTGTAGCTACACCAGTGTGGTGCAGTGGTTAGAGCGTCACACTAGGACTTGGCAGACCAGAGTTCAAATCCCCACATGGTCATGACACTCACTTGGGTCAGTCTCCATCTTGAGGCCTATCCTATCTCACAGGAGTGTTGTGAGAAGTGTTTGTAGGAAGGGGGTTATTCGTTCGTTTTTGTTTCATATTCGGTATTCTCATTTTGTATGTTTCTGTTGTGAACCGCACCAGGTTCTTCAGGTAGAGGGTGGCATATGAATTTAATAAACAAAATAATAATAACAACATTGTGAGGGGAGCACCCTGCACACTGTCTTGAGAAACTTGGAGGAAAAGTGGGATACAAATGCATTAATAGAGAAAAAAAGGAGGCCACCTTTAACCTTGCCATCAATACATGGGGAGCCCAATGCAAACTCTGAAAGAGACTTTCTCAGAGAAGTTGCCAATGCCAAGTGAATCTCACCAAAAGTTATATATTAAAGGCTATGAAAATGTCTGCCTGCTGCCAGCCGCCGTGGCTGTCTCTTTAATTTGCTCGTCTGCATAGCGAGGGCCATTTATCAGCAGAAGGCATCATTTACTGTTAAACGATGGGACACAGGGAGCAGAGGGAATTTGCCTTGCTTTTAAATAAATAACTCTACGGGGTGGTTCCTTTCCCCCTTCTCTTTCTCACAAGACAAGGCAAACATTTGTCAGAAGGCAGCCAAGGCATTAAAAGAGGTTGTTCTTCAAGGCTTTCCCCCGGTTTCTAAAATGTATGCACTTTAAATTTCTTTTAAGCCAGGCTATCAGACCGGAATTCTCTCACCCTCCCCGCCTCCTCCTCCTCTGTTTTGGCAGTAGCGAGACTGAGCCAATTCTTAAAGACATGGACTGATCATTTGGGGAGCTCCCACCTCTTTGTGGCTAAGCATGGGCTTTGGAGACAGAAGGTCCCGGGTTCAACAGGAACGTAACCTGTTCTTGGAAAATACCTACTGAAATTAATGGACCCCAGTTATTCAAATCCATTGATTTCAATGATTCTACTCTGAGCAGGGCTAAAGTTTTTATCATGTGAACTGCCCTGAGATCTACAGATGAGGGGCAGTACAAATTTAATAATAAACAAACAAACAAATAATAACATTGGATGCAACTATTGAGACAAGCACTTCGCTGATCTTGAATCTCCTGTTTAGAGTGTTATGCTGTTTTAATGGACTAGTTTATTATATATATTGAATGTGGGTGTTGCTTTCAGTTGTTTGTGAACCTCCTTGGTTCAATGTTTCCTACACTGACTGGCAGAGGCTCTCCAGGGTTTCAGACAGGAGTCTTTACCTCAGCCCAACCTGGAGATGCCCAGGATTGAACCTGGGACCTTCTGCATGCAAAGCGGATGGTCTGCCACTGAGCTATGGCTCTTCCCTGATATGTTTAGGAGGGATGCAAATAGAGCAAAGTGGGGAAGAGGAACAGGCTTAAAATCAGTGCCAAGAAGACATGGGGTCTAGGCAGGCGTTGCCAGCTTCCATACCTCTCTCTTGTGGGGTGGGGAGGAAATCTCCACTGCCCTTAAGCAAGGAGAATTGTGCTTCTTATAAAAGCCTCTTTCCCCCACAGGCTCTCTACAAACGCAGGAGGTGGGGGAGGCCTCTCGTGTTCAGCCTCTTTTGCAACGCTATAATTTTGAACAAGCACTCCTTGCCCTGTAACGCCAAGTGCAAAAGCAATTAAAAAAGTGGAATCCGAGCAAAGCCAACCTCTGCTGACTCCAGCGGGATGGCAAGTGTTTTATCAAGCCCAAACTTGAAATTACTATGTTCTAATGTTCCTTGGCTCCGTGGCCCCCCGCTGTAAAATGTGACCATCCATTTCAAAATTATCTCTCCATCGCCGAGTCCAGAGCTTGATCGTTTCGATTCCAGGCCTCGCATCGGGCGTCAGTTTGAAGAATATCGCGGCGCTATCTCTCCTAATAAACGGCTTTAACTTTTCACCTAGGAGATCTCTCCTTTAAACTTATCGCGGAGAATCATCTGCTTCCCCTTAACGCCTCCACTAAATTAAAAAACTTGAAGTCACTCAATTTGGAACCTGCATGCTTTCGACAAGCCAGATGAATCGCTGGCAAGATGACGGGGTGGGTGGTGGTGCAGGGGGAGGACGGAATATTAGCCAAAAAGAAGTTGCCAAAAAAAGTCCCATTCTAGCCAGCAGATAAGTGCAGCTGCTGAAGGATGGTGCTGCTCAGGAAGACCTGGTTAGAATTTTGCCTCTGCAGTGAACTATTAGGTGACCTTAGGATAGCTGCCCTCTCCCAGTACCATTATCTGTCATATGGGATAATAATATTGGCCTACCTTATAGGGCTTACGGAGTATGCATTAGCTATATAAATTCAAATAATATTATTATTGTTATTATTAACTACTGCAGCAGCACATGGGACCTGCAATAAATCATTGTTGTGTGGAGTGCTATTCGGGGTTGCAGCTGGCCACACCCTCTCTAATTATACTCCATTCCATCCTCCCTTTCTTCCACCCCTCTCTCAACAGTTAGTCAGCACTCCAGGACCACTGGGTATGCTCTGTCCTCACAGTCAGGGCTGCTCCAGTCAGGGTTTTCCCCTACCCCAAAGTACTTTTGTGCTTCTGCAAACCTTGGGGTGCCCCTAAGCCTGCTGCCAGCTCTCCCTCTTCCAGAGGGATGGTGTCAAATAGTAAGATCACTATTTGTATATAGCAGGGCTGAGGAACCTTTTGCAGCCCTTTGGGGCAACCTCCTAGGGGTGAGATACTAGGGGTGGGCAGGCCAGAAGCAAAGAGTGTGGGGAGGAACAAAGGTAAATTTTACCTATGTACAGCGGGCTGGTTTCTGCACATGCTCACAAGACACATCATCTGAGTTCAAGGACACATAAGAAACACTTTAGGGTGCAAATCAGGGCTGGTATGGAGCGTGGCCAGGGGAAGAGTCCCCAGAGCCAGATAGAGAGGCTTGGAGGGCTGCCTGTGGCCCCTGGGCCTGAGCTTTCTCACTCTTGACATACAGGATTAGCGCACAGCAGACAGAACGTTACACTCTGGAGTCAGAGAGGATATCACTCCTAACAGAGGGAGGGTGCCCTATGGCAGCTGAGTTCCTAGATCAAAAGCAACACAACTTACAAAGCCTCAGCTCCTTTAAAAGTTTGCAGGCTCTGTGCTAAACCTGGGCTGCAGCCTAATGGCAAGTCCTGTAAGCAGCCCTTTTGCAAGGCCCTAGCTCCTTTTCCCCGTCTAGTTAAAGCTATGGTTTCCCCAGTAGTGATGTATGGAAGTGAGAGCTGGACCATAAAGAAGACTCCCTGGAAAAGACCCTGATGTTGGGAAAGATTGAGGGCACAAGGAGAAGGGGACGACAGAGGACGAGATGGTTGGACAGTGTTCTCGAAGCTACCAGGATGAGTTTGACCAAACTACGGGAGGCAGCGGAAGACAGGAGTGCCTGGCGTGCTCTGGTCCATGGGGTCACGAAGAGTCGGACACGACTAAACAACAACAACAACAAGCACCTTTTCCAGCAAGCTGAGCAGGAGAACTGAACTAGAAGTTCCAAATAGTGTAGAATACTGAAGATTTAAATCTACTGCTAACAGAAAGCAACTGAATGTGATTTTGCTATTAGTGTGTGGATAGACAGAATGATAGATAGATGGTGCAGCGATTAATTATCCCCTCTCCACCATTTCCCAGATAGTTCCTCTTTTCTTTGGAAATTAAAGTACCTGGGTTAGGGCGTCCAGCCAGCATCCAGCGAGGATCATAAGGTGTCTTGGTGGGAACAAAGTCAACGGCTCTATCTATCGGGTCCTTGACGGTGATCATTGGGACTGGGCTGAAAACGCTCTGAAAGGAGGAGAGGGAAAATTTGGTACGTAAGATTCTTGAAATGCTCATACGTTTGGCCAGTTAGACATTGCAGGAACACAGGAGGGCTTCCTTCTACCACATCCAGCGCTTTGCCCATCCATCCCAGGACTGTCTACTCTAACTAGCAGCAACTCTATAGGGTCTCTGGCAAAGAAGGGGCTATTCCATCACCCTTCCAATAGGAGCTAACTGGGGACTTTGACAGGCAAAGAATGTGCCCTGCCACTGAGTAATAGTCCCTGCCACGTATGCAGCCTTGAACATACAACCATTTTGTAAAGTAACAAGTGAATTCTGAAATGACAATTCCCAAGGTTCCTTGGGGGAAATCCATGCCAAATAGAAGTGATATAATCTGATTCCCGTCTGGAGGGCAAAAGGGGTCCTGGACCCAAGTTGTTAAGGGCCTTGTACATGAATACGGCTTGGCCCACTAGCGGATGGGAAGCCAGTCCAAGCTTTTAAGCACCAACATTATGTCCTGGTGATATTCTGTTCTAGCTGAAGCATTTCACACCACCTGGAGCTTCGAAGGGCAGCCCACTTAGAGTGCATTGCGGTATTCAAGCCTTGAGTTCCCAATGCGCAAATCACCACGGCCAGGTGATCTCAGTCCAAGAACAGTGATAGCTAGTGAACCAGCTGTAGCTGACAAAAGGCACTCCTAGCCGTTCAGGAGCAAACCCAAGCTGAACACTGATTATCTTTGCGGCCTCCCCAGAGCTCAGTCCTTGAGCCAAGTACGTACCCACCCACAGCAACGCCAGAAGAGCTAAAAGAGGGTGGAGGGAGAGAAATACCTTTGGCATGTAAGACAGCCATTGAAGAATGGTGTAGACCCCTTCGAAGTCGTCGCATACTGTGCTATGGGTCACCCCGTTGTTGTGCATGATCTGGATCCCACCTAGCTGGTTGTTGGAGGTGTACACCTCTCTTCCAAGCACCTGTTTGAAGGCAGGGGGTAGGGAAAGATAGATACCTTTTAACCTTGTTATCAGATTTTTTTTTGTTAACCACACAATATAAAAAAATCATTCCTGAAACTCCAATTGTTTTCAGCGAAGTCCCCTCTCCAGTATTCCCCGTATTTTATTTTATTGCATTTATATCTCAACTTTCTTCCATCGTGGGACTCAAAAAAGCTTCTAGGAATGGCTTGAGGTCTCCCATCCAGGCACCGACCAGACCCAGACCCAGACCCATACCTGCTTAGGTTCAGCAAAATGGTGCCTTCACATGCCACCAGACCACAGCCTGGTATTCACTGATTTAAAAGCAATGTATGATCTGTATCTTTCTGAAAAATGAGCCAATCAAGGTGGGTAACGTTAGAACGGCAAACAGAATGCAATATAAAAATGTCCGTATGAAAATATCAACACAATGGCAGTCTCCAGATGCAACAACACACCATAGTTTATTGTGACAAGAGCGAATCTAAGAAAGTCCCAGGTTCCATCTCCTCTTTTTCAGAACTTTTTGCAGCATTTGCTTTTCCATGGTTTCTTTGGCCCCAACACAACCCCAAACCATGGTTTAGCCCAGTGGCTTATCTGTGGCTTGTTCACTGGCAAGAAACCATAGTCTAAAGCCATGGTTTGTTGTTGGCTTACAAACCTTTCTTAACCTTGGTCAATTTTAGCCACTCCCAGATACTCACCAAGCCACAAAGGAATGAGGAAAGAGCAGCTGGAAAACAAACCAAATGCAGAAGACTAGCTAATAGCTGCAGAAGACTGGCTATGTTTCTCCACAGCTGGAGGCCCTGTGCCTTTGAATGCGAGTTGCTGGGAATCACAAGTGGGGAGAGTGCTGTTGTACCCAGGCCCTGCTTTTCAGACTTCCCACAGGGGACCTGGCTGTCCAATGAGAGAATAAGGCATAGGACCAGATGAGCCACCAGCTCTCTCCACTTGCGATTCCTGGTATTCAGAGGCACTCTGCTTCCAACACAATCCATGGTGCTTCCAATATCATCCGTTGATAACCTTATTTTTAAATGCATTTGTTTATTTTGCATTATTTATTCTGATTAAGTTAGCCATGGGGAGGGAGCAAAGGATTATGCTGGCTCTTGGACATCCCTTCCATTTGCTCAGCCTGCATAGCTCAGTCGCTTAGAGCCGCGGTGCTGATAACACCAAGGTTGCAGGTTCGATCCCCGTCTGCAACAGCTGCATATTCCTTCATTACAAGGGGTTTGGACTAGAGATGATCCACAAGGTACCCTTCTAACTCTACAATTCTATGCTTCCATTAAATGCTTGAAATCTTCTACCCGCTGCTGCTCCTCCTCCTCCTCCTCTCTGTCCCTCTCCAATTCAGGGCTGAGATTTCACCCATGCACTTTTGAAGCTTAACACCTTCCTACCCCTAGGGACCAGAAACTCGCTTTGGCAACCAAAAGAGACATAACAAAAGCTGTGGTTTTTTTGCATGGCACAACTGTGAAACTGTGGCAGAGAGCCAAAGACACATACAACGCAGGAGAGGCCTTGAAAGGAGCAAGTCTGAAAACGAGACCTTGTGTGCCTGCGCACACACCTTTCAGTCAACAATTTCAAACCACGCCGACAGGTGGCAACTCTTTCCCCTCCCCGGCAGTTTTCCTTCGAAGGGCTCCATTAAAATGAGCCTCTGACCACTGGCCTCTCAATTCTCCCTCTCTCTCACTGCTCCTTTCTTCTAATCTCAGCCCAAGCGCCGCACAGCTCTGTTCCCATTCTCCCCGCTGTCTCTTCCCATTTGCCCTTTCGCTGACTGATACACTGATCTCTCGGTCACTCGGCTTTCTGCTCTGCTGGGTCCATATTACTAATAACACCTCTGCCACGGCCAGTTTACCTCATGAAGGCAGGAGCACATCATTACAAAATAAACTCATAACTTTGACATTCGAGCAAATACACGCCATTTGTTATTTTTATGGCGCGAGTCTTTCCAACAGGCAGGGCGGGTGGGAGGGGGGTGGGGAAGGTGGCATTATGTACCTGGTTCCATTTAGATCACACAAAACAAAACAAAAAGGGAGGGAGGGAGAGAAACATGCGTGTGCAACCACAGACGCCTCCGCACACTCCTGACCAAAACAAAAGCACACTAGGAAACACAACCGGCACGAGTTGGATTACTAGAGGCAGGTGCCTCATTGTCCCTCGCCCCTTTCCTCTTAGGCCTCAGAGCAGTTTTGGGGAACCTGTGGCCCTCCAGACGTTGCTGCCCTACAACCATCCCTGGCCATTGCCCACACTTGCTGGGGCTGATGGGAGTTGTAGTCGGTGTGGCGTAATGGCTAGAGTGTTGGACTTGGTCCTGGGAGAGCAGGGTTCGAATCCCCACTCAGCCATGAAGCTCGCTGGGCCAGTCACCACCTGTCAGCCTAGCCTACTTCACAGGGTTGTTGTGAGGATGAAACAGGGAGAAGAACCATGTTCACCACCTTGAGATCCTGGGAAGATAAAAGTGGTACAGTGGTACCTCGGGTTACAGATGCTTCAGGTTACAGACTCCGCTAACCCAGAAATAGTACCTCGGGTTAAGAACTTTACTTCAGGATGATAACAGAAATCGTGTGGCGGCGGCGTGGCGGCAGCGGGAGGCCCCATTAGCTAAAGTGGTACCTCAGGTTAAGAACAGTTTCAGGTTAAGAACGGACCTTCAGAACGAATTAAGTTCTTAGCCCGAGGCACCACTGTATATGAATGTAATAAATAAATAAATAAGTTCAGCGAGATCTGGAGGGCCCAAGGTTTTCCATTCCTGGACTAGAGGAACAATGAAGAGGTGCCTTTGGACTGAGGGCTGCATTTTCAACCACAGACAACCTTCACAGCGTGGGGATGCCTGGGGTGGGCAGGACAGAGGCTAAAGTGGGCATAGCAACTGGTGCGGCTCTGATCTTTGAACAGTGGAATAATAATAATAATTTATTTGTACCCCACCCATCTGACTGGGTTGCCCCAGGCATTCTGGCCGGCTTCCGACAGAATGTAAAAATACAACAAAAACATTCAAGCCATGAAAAAGTCAAAGGTTTCTATACGCATTTCTCCATTCTCCAGCCAACTAGTCAGAGGCATCGCCATACTTCAAGGACAACATTCCTGTCAGGCGAAAGTGCGCAGAAAGAGGAGCAGGGAATGGAGGGCAAGGTCTGGGGAAAATCCCGAGAGCCGTACCGAAAGGCCTTGAGGGCCACATCCAGCCCTCAGGTTTCCCCCTCCACTGGCCTAGAACCTGTGGAGATCTGACAGGCTGCTTCCACCCCAGGCAACACAGCTGGCTCAGGGCAAATAATTAAAGATGGAGTCCTCATTGCTCTCACCTCAGCCTTTCCTCAACTAGTATTTGCAGGCCTCCCAGTGTTTTGACGGGTCTCCTCTTGGATTGATAATCACAAAAGGAGAGATTTGGCCTGCGGCCTGTGAATACTGACATCCCCTACCTGCTGCTTTTAAATCCTTTGTTTGGATCCAAACTATTTAAACAATCTTTCATTCCTAGCCCGCAGATTGCCCATATTGAGAATTACTGTTTTCTCTCAGACATCACCACCCCTACCCCCAGTAAAATGGGTCTGATAGGTTTTTTGAATACAAAACCCTGCCCAACCTGTTTGACTGAAGGCAGCAGCAAAAGGAGCGTACATACTGGTGTTGGAAACTCAGATATATAAGCTAATCACTAAATTGCACCTTAAATGTAGGTGATGGTCACCACGGCAGACTATCTTGTGGCTATTTTTTTTTGCAATGAAATTTGCTGTTATTATTTGTACTACTATTATTAATTTTAATTTTGTTTCATTTCCTTTCAATACCGCTTCACATTTTAAAGAAAAAACCCTCAAAGCAGTTTACAACACATAGAAACATCAAATAAAACAATCCAGAATAAAACAGTGATATGTCCACAAATTGGCTGGCTGACCAGATGGTGGAGATGTCAGTCGCCACATCTGGTGACAAGACATCTTCACTTGCTTTGCAATTGGATCCGCACCAGTCGCAAAACATGCCTGGCGCTTGGGGAATTTCTAACACTGGCTACACAACACAAGCAGTGATCTCTCTTCCAAGCCATCTTCAGCTTCAGTGAAGTTAGAGGTGAAACTGGAGGAGAGACTGTATGGAGAGAAATCCTTCATCTATCTCCCTCCTAAATTTGGGGAGCCAACACCCACCAACTGGCTTTCAAATGCAGCTGGATCCACCATGTCTCTGTTGTCAAGTATATACACTTACTAGTCAATATGGCACCCAGATTCAGCATTAGCCGGGCATTTCATTTGCTCAAAGCATCTTGACGCACTTTGGAAAAAAGGAAAGGAAGAAGGGCAGGAGATGTTTATTTATCTGTATCTCCAAAACAGGGTTTTAAAAGGGCAACAGTACCAATGAACAGGCCTGTTTTAGGAAGCGCCAATCACCTGTGGCACCTGGCAAAGAGATATATGAACCCTTCTGGATATGGTTTGTTTGTTGCCTTTATAGACCTGAAATCAGCTTTTGATTCAATTTCAAGAGACAGACTATGGACCAAGTCCCACACCACCATTGATAAAAGACAACTTTTCATCACTTACACTTCAAGTAAGATGTGAGTTGCAGGGTAATTTGACAAAATCTATCCTTTCCAATAAGGACATTTGTCAGGGTTGAATATTAGTTCCTACACTATTTAATTTTTATCTAAACAGTTTGATTGGGAACTGTTTAGTACCTGTCTGCCATGTACCAAAACTGGCAGCGACTGAAGTCCCACTGTCCAAAACAGGCCTTAAATCACTTTGTAAACTACTCTGAGGTTCTTTTGCAGTGAAGAGGTGTATAACTTTTGTGAAATAAAAATTAGCAACTAAAAACCATGGCATTTTCTAGACACAGATCAATTAATAAGTGGATCACAGATGATGGGCGACGCGGGTGGCGCTGTGGATTAAACCACAGAGCCTTGGACTTGCCAATCAGAAGGTCGGCGGTTCGAATCCCTGTGACGGGGTGAGCTCCCGTTGCTCGGTCCCTGCTCCTGCCAACCTAGCAGTTCGAAAGCACGTCAAAGTGCAAGTAGATAAATAGGTACCGCTCCGGCGGGAAGGTAAATGGCATTTCCGTGCGCTGCTCTGGTTCGCCAGAAGCGGCTTAGTCATGCTGGCCACATGACCCGGAAGCTGTATGCCGGCTCCCTCAGCCAATAAAGCGAGATGAGCACCACAACCCCAGAGTCGGTCACGACTGGACCTAATGGTCAGGGGTCCCTTTACCTTTACCTTAACAGATGATGGTCAGCGTATAGACCCAAGTCAAGAAGTTTAGAGACCTGAGACTTCCGGTCGGCGCCAGCGCTAATGGCGGTCCTTTTTCCGAGCTCCGGAAAAGGACTGCCCTGCGAGTTCGGGTCTGTCCCGCTACGGCAAGCGGGGGACCCCTAAAATCACAGGCGCGGAAGCCTGTGAACGAGGAGATTCGGTGGGCACCAGGAGCGCCCCCCCTTTACCGCAGAAAGAGCCTTTTTAAAGGCTCTGGAACGACATCGGGGGAGCGCGGTGCTGAGAATCGCTACCCAGCCCGCAGGGTGAAGCCGCGTCGCTATTAGCGGAGAGCGCCGATTCCTTCCTGTAAATTTCGGACAGAAAAAACCCGTGAGTAAAACGGAACGTCTATTTGGAATTAAATTCTGGAAATTTGGTGGAAAACGGGGAGGTAAAAATTAAGGAAGTCTGCCTTCCCCCGACTGCATGAAAGTGAAAGCAACGGAACTGTAAAGCTGCATCCGTAAGAGACATTGCTTTTGATTAATTAAACCTGACATCTGGACTTTAGATCTCCCCTCTAGCTAGCAGGGCAGAGGGGAGCCAAGAGAGATTTTGGCAACTGCATGATCTATTTAAAAGAAAAATTCTCTGCTGTCTCAGTGACCTGAAACGGTCTGCCTAGTAAGACAATAGGACACTGAACTGACTTTTTCCTGTGAAAGTTACATTGTGACACAAAGTTTCTGCACTGTTTAGCTACAGTATACCAGAGCAGGCTGAGATAGTATCTATTGGGAAACTGTGGCAACTTTTACTTACAAGCCTCCTGCTATACTTGCCTTAAACTTTTTTTCCTTCCTTCTACGTATTTGGACATTGTCTTTGCCTTTGTATTTGGACTTTGTCTTTGTATCTGGACATTTTGATTTGCTCCCCCTAGAGGGTAAAGCAAAGGCCGACACAGCTCAAGACAGTGGAATTTTCCATCGGGAAATAGCTCCCGTGGGAAACGACCTTGACATGAGTGGCTCACAAGAAGAGATAGTCACAAGAGCCAAGACCAAACAACAACAACAGTACCAGCTGCAGCAACAACAACAACCAAAGAAAAGAGGCTCAATCACAGGGGCAACTGCTGGACTTGTAGTAACAACAGGACAAGAAAAAGTGACAGCTGTCTCTATGGAAGCTGTGACAGAGGCCCTGCTTAAGGTAAATCAATCCCTGGAGTCTCTGACAAAACAGACTTCAGAAAATACACAAAAATTAACAGAAATATCAGCAAGACTAGATCAGAATACAGAATCTATAAATAAACTGGTGGAGGAAAACTCCACTACACGTAAAATTGCTGAAGAAGCGAGAGCCATTGCTGGAGAGACACAGGAGAACTTAGAACCGATTGCTAAGAAGGTTTATGAGCACGACGCAACTTTGGCTCTGTGGGAATTACAGAGAAAAGAGAGAAATCTGAAATTGAGACTGATACCAGAGAACGAAAGCGACAACCTTGCGGAGTTCTTAACACAGGAGTTTGCAGACTGCTGGGATCTGGAGGAAGACGATTTTAAAATTACAACAGCTTTTAGACTGGGCAAAAAGCAAGACAGAAAGACCCCGAGAGACTGCCTGATTACACTTAGATCTAAGGAAGAAAGAGACAAAATACTACGACTACATTTTGAAAAAGCCCTGCAAATTGGAAACTCAGCTGCACAGATTTTTAAAGACATTCCAAAATATATTTTGGATTTGAGAAACTTCTATAAGGATCTGGCTCTTTTGTTAAAGAAAAACTCCATCCGCTTCAGGTGGGAATTTCCACAGGGACTGTCCTTTGACTACAAGGCAAAGAAGGTGAAAATAAAGACTATACAAGATAAAGACAAATTTTTGGAAAGAAATCGAGAGGACCTGCAGAAGGGGACAGTGGACCCAATTGCAGAACAGAGGAGAGCATTAGACATTCTGAATCTTTCGCGTGGACACAAACCACCACCCTCAGAGGAAGAGCAACAACTTGGAGCTGTTGGAGGAGTGTCAGAGAAATAACAAAATGGCCTTGCAATTCCTTAGCTGGAATTGCAATGGGCTTAATGGGCCTTTGAAGAGAAGACAAGTTTTTCATATCTTGAATAGAGAACAACTGGACTTGATATGCCTACAAGAAACTCATATAACCAGATCCCACAGGAGATTACTTACAAATAAAAGACTAGGACAAGAATTTATTTCATCAGATAAAGTAAAAAAAAGAGGAGTCGTAATATATGTAAAAGAGAAATGGGCCCCAAAAATGATATTTAAAGATGAACAAGGGAGATATCTGGCAGTGGAGATACAAGTACAAGGAGAAAAATTTCTGGTTGTTGGAGTTTACGCACCAAATGAAGGTAAATCTGACTTCTTTAAGAGACTTCATGAAACTCTAATGGACTATTTGGATTACAATATGATAATTATGGGAGACATGAACGGTGTGGTTTCCACCAATATGGACAAGGCACAAAGAGCAACAGTCACCAAGGAAGGGAGACTTCCTAAGACCTTTTTTGAAATGACGGAAAACATGGATTTGATAGATATATGGAGAACAAGGAACCCTCTGGAGAGAGAGGGAACCTTTTTCTCCCAAGCAATGATGACCTGGACCAGAATTGATCAAATTTGGATCACTAGTGGTATGGCTCCAAAGATCAAGAAGGTAGAAATCTGCCCAAAAACTTGCTCCGACCATAACGCTGTGAAGATGGAAATGAAACTTACAACTACTGGTCAATTTAGATGGAGAATGAATGACACCCTCTTTCGAGACA